ATTCTATACGTAAACCGCTGAGCCCCTTAAGCCAGATGTAAAATTGGATGTCGTATTTTCCTACAAACATACTTTACAGTATGGAGTACAGCCTTGCTGATGTGGCTGGGGACTTCCAGTGCCTCTGACAACCCACCCCTTCCCGTTCCCTTCCTTGCCTCCTTCAAGGCCTGCCTCAAGATCCTACTCAGCAGATACAAGTTTTATAAGGTCAATAAAATATCTACAGTCTTTAAACACAATGGAACTAATTAGACAGAGCCCTTGCCATGACCCTTTGCATTGGCTTCAATATGTCTTTCTGTTACATAGTCAATGCCCCCGAAGTTCCCCAACCACGTGTAAAGAAAGTCACATCATTCTTCTGACGGAGGAGGAATTCAACACACTCTATGTTACACCCTCACTTCGGTGCTGTTTGGGCTCTTAGGAATTTAGGGCTCAGTGCTGAGTGAGCTGGACTCTTGCTCTCAAGGTCAATTTCCCTCCTTCTCTTTGGGATACGTTGAACATCCAAGGATTTCCTCTCTTTGACTCGACCCCCGTCAATACAGGGGGGATGGGGGGGGGGGAACTGCTTTGAACACTGGGCCATGCAGTCTGTGCCCATCCCTCAACATCTTTTCCTGTCACGTTGTTTTGTGTGCATATAATATCAGATTGGATTTGATAAAGCGCTTTATTATTTTGTTGAGCCATCTCAAAACTCTTCACCGAATACATTATAAAGTGGACTGACTGTATTTTGTGGGTGAAACGTGGCAACCAATTGCGTACAACAGCGTCCCACAAACAGTCATGGATTAAGTGACCATATTTTTTTAAAAAGAGCTGCAAAAAATATTGTTAAAAACAGTACCATCTAGAGGCTTGTAGATACACAGCACTTGTATATTTTTGTAGATACTGTATCTACTGATCTGCGAGTTGCATTGTTAAAATCGCAAGATGTATTCACTGACTTTTTCTCTGGAAACCTCACAGCAAATGAAAATGTGCAGTCGTAATTATGAAGGTTGCTGTGGCGAAGCAAACCATCTGGGTTTTCCTGTCAATTTTCAGTATTGATCATTGTGATTAACAACAACAAATTACATTTGTATAGCGCCTTTGTCAGGTGGTCAGGGATTTGGACCTGAGCAGGGGATTAGGATCAGGAGGGATGAAGGGCAGGGAGGGCAGAGTTAGGAATGTGACTGAGGGCGCAGTTGAAGAGGGGGCTCTTGAGGCAGTCCTTGAATGAGGCAAGGAAGGGAACAAAGCGAATGGACTGCGAAATGGAGTTCTGAAGGGTCAGGGCAGAAATGCAGATGGCAAAGGAAAGCAGGTAATGCATCAAAGCTACTGGTAAAGTGGTTTAGATGCTGTCCTTTCACCTCTAGGATATGGGACCTGGGAAAGGATCCGAGTTTAGAATTCCACCCCACCCCACAGGATTATAACGATAATAATCCTCGCATTTGATTATAGTACCTTACCACATTGTCAAGACGTCTCAAAACGCTTCACAGGATATAGTGTAAAGTGGTTTGACTATTTTTGCACATAGCAATTTGCCACATGGAGCGAGTGACCAATTTTATTTGGAGGATTTGTTGGGACAAGACACTGGAAATAAACTCCCTTCTGTGTTCGAGTAGTGCCATGAGATCTTTAACTTTCACCTGAACAAGTAGATCTCGGTTTAACGTCTCACCAGAAGACTAGGTCAGTTGACGTGAAAGTCTCATCTGTCTGTTGACCGTAATGGTTCTGACACAGCCACAGTTTGCTTCCCCAGATGCTTCAGGCACTGAATTGGCAATGTCACTTGGAGGCCACAGGCAAGCCTGGTGTTGGAAATGGAAACACCAACATAGTGCAGGAGGAGACAATTTTCCGAGGCAGGTTGTTTGGAAAAAGAAGAAATTTTACTTTGGGGCAGCTTCAATCGATTATAAAACGTCGGATTTTTCTAAGCCGTAAATCTCCAACACTCCAGACACAAGGGAAACGGTGCAAAAGGAATGAGGAAGTTCAGGGAATTTATCTTTGCTGTCATGGGAGAGTGGATTTGAATGTACCTTTGCCTATAAAATCCTCAGTTACTGCACTGTGCAGTAAATTGTGTGAAATGCTTTTGAGACATTCCTTGGCTCGGCATGAGAGGTGCTTTATCAAAAATTATTTATCCTGCTGCTCTTTGCCGAGTCTTTATAACAGACAAACGTAGTGAAGAAAAGGGCTCCAATATGCATTACATTACACCAATTTGCATCTACATATTGTCAAACAACCAAAAGGAGAGAGTGAGGCATTCACAGTGCCTACATTTGGGCTTGTTCTTCACCAAATTCCAGAGATCAGCGGCACAGGAGAACCTGGAGATACATGCTGTGCTCCACACTACATCCACTGCCTTACTTCTTTGGTTCAGAGAGTTATCACAGGGTTTAATTTCCTGGCGAACAATCCCCCGAATAAAATTGGCCACTCGCTCCATGGCTGTTTGTGGGGCATTTGTGGGGCATTGCTGTGTGCATAACTGGCTGCTATGTTTCGCCCACAAAATACACAGTCAAACCACTTTACAGTAAATCCTGTGAGACATCTCGACAATGTGACAAGGCACTATATCAAATGCAAGGATTATTATTATTTTACTGGGGGTTGGGGTGAGGAGGAAGAGAGAAAGAGAGAGGGAAAAAAAGACGACAGGAGACAGTCTGGACCACATGCCTTGTGTCACCTTTACCTGCAGTGAGCGATGAGATCTAACAGTGACGGGAAGCACAGAGGCGTCACAGCCCAGCCGAGAGCAGGAAGACTGCAGTACTCTGTACAATATCTCCTTGCATTCTCATAGTCAATGTCACAATCTCAGCAAATAGTACCTTTATTTCTGATCTTGCCTCCTGGCTTTGTTTTGCTAATACAATATTTCCAAAACAGGCACATCATTGGAGTTTTATATATATATGTATATACACACACACACATAAAACAATATCTATTGATATTTCGGATTGGGTGACAGCTGAAACCAAATCTACCGCACCCCCCGCCCCCCCCACCCAATCACACACCCACCCACACACGGGGGTGATTGATTGTTAAAGGATTTAATGGGACAATCTGGAGGGGCAATTTCAGCTGATTGGCTTTAGCCGGTGTCCACCCAGTGTCCGGGAGTCCGGTTAATACAGGCGCAGTGTGGGAAACCTGCCAGGTTCACATCCCCTTCAAAGATGGTACAGCAGCAGCTAATCACAACACCCACATGTCCCTAAACTGGCTCTGGGACTGTGCCTACATCTCAGCCAGTGTTTCTTTCTCATGGTAGAAAGAGGCAATTTTTTTAACAGTTGAAGTCAGCGAGTTTAAGGGGCGATTGCTTGTTTTTTTTGGAGCGACAGTGGCGAATAATTTGGACAAGAGGCACCAAATAATATTGGAATGATTTGTCTGTGTGTGATTGAGATTTGAACGTCCTTGTATAAAGGGGAGGGGGAGAGATAGAAGGTGGAGGAGGGAGCGAAGGAGGGGAGAGAGGGATTGGGGGTGGAGAGAAAGAGGAGGAGGGGGAGAGGGGGTGGAGAGAGAGGAGGAGGGGGAAGAGAGAGGAAGGGGAGAGGGGGTGGAGAGAGAGAGAGGAGGGGGAGAGGGGGTGGAGAGAGAGAGGAGGGGGTGGAGAGAGAGCGACAGGAGGGGATGGAGAGAGAGGAGGGGAAGAGAGAGGAGGGGGAGAACGGGATGAAGAGAGAGAAGGGGGAAGAGGGGGTAAAGAGAGAGAGAGAGAAGAGGGGGTGGATAGTCCTTTTTTAAAAAAAGAGCTGATCTCACCCAAAATAAGTCGTACAGCCTAATTGGTAACAGTCTATTTCTGTCTGTGTGCATCGCCTCCAACAAACACTGCACAGAGCATTACTGTACAATCTGAAACAAATCAGGGCATTATATATATATACACCCTATATACACCCATATACATATACACACCCTATATACACACCCATATATATATATACACACACCCTATATACACACCCATATATATATACACCCTATATGCACACCCATATATATATACACACCCTATATAGATATATATACACCCATATATATACACACACCCACATGTATATACACACACACCCATATGTATGCACACACCCATATATATATATAGATACAAACAGTTACTTTACCCAGAAATAGCTTTTACAAATACGGTTGGTTGCTTTGCAATGAAATGGACAAGACACGAGCACAGACCCCCACCACCACACCCCACCCCGACCCCCCCCCCCCACACCCCCCGACACCCCACACCCCACCCACAGCCTCTGCTCCAGAAACAGATTTTTTTCATATATATATATAAAAAAATGAAATAATGAAATAATTCATTCATTTTCAAAAAAAAAGAGAGAACCATTTTAATAATGAATCTGCGGAGACCCTTTCACACCGGAGACCAAACCCCCAGATCTGAGCCCGAGCAGCGGTAATAAAACCCCCTCCCCATCCCCACCCCATCCCCATCCCCATCCCACCCATCCCCTCCCCCTCCCCATCCCCACCCCATCCCCACCCCATCCCATCCTTCCCCATCCCCTCCCCATCCTCTCCCCATCCCATCCCTCCCCATCCCATCCTCTCCCCACCCCATCCTCTCCCCATCCCCATCCCCACCCCATCCCCCATCCCCACCCCATCCTCTCCCCATCCCATCCCCACCCCATCCCCATCCCCTCCCCATCCTCTCCCCATCCCATCCTCTCCCCACCCCATCCCCATCCTCTCCCCATCCCATCCCCTCCCCACCCCATCCTCTCCCCATCCCATCCCCACCCATCCCCATCCCCACCCCATCCTCTCCCCATCCCATCCCCTCCCCACCCCATCCTCTCCCCATCCCATCCCCACCCCATCCTCTCCCCATCCCATCCTCTCCCCATCCCATCCCCACCCCATCCCCTCCCCATCCTCTCCCCATCCCCATCCCTCCCCCTCCTCACCTGGCAGTGCCGCCCTGTGTACCCAGGACAGCAGGTGCAGTTATACGCCTCGGTCTCTCCTTCGGAAGTTAAGCAAGTTGCATTGGTCAGGCAGGACTGGCTCTGGCCCGGGTCAGCACGGACCAGGGACAGGGACAGGGACAGGACCAGGGACAGGGACAGGACCAGGGACAGGGACAGGGACAGGGCGCCCATCAGGCGCAAGAGATTGGGGGCAGATCCCATGCTGCTGCCTCTCGCTTTGCAGCTGCTGAGCGTTGTGTGTGTGTGTATGTGTGTGTGTGGGGTATAACTGCACTGATCTCTCTCTCTCTCACTCACACACACACAGAGCAACTCGGTACCCAGTGACGACAGGTGACGAAAGGCTTTTTTTTCTCTCTCTCTCTCTCTCTCTCTCTCTCTCGAGTCGTCCTTGGATCAGCCCTTCTCTCTCTCTCCCTCCTTCTTCCTTTCCTTTCCTTTCCCTTCCACCCAGTGCTGCTCTCAGCCTCAGTCACTGCCCCTCACCGTTTGACTGCCCCCAAAACTGCAGGGAATTCACGAACTGAGTCAAAAGGGGTTGTGGTGGGAACACGTCGGGAAGGACAGTCCGTTTGATGTCAGAATTTCTGGCACATGGGTTCATCCATCTCGTTATTCCCTTTATTCCCAGTAATTGCACATGATCTGATAATGGTCGGTATTAACAAGGGAGGTGCAGGCAATAAAGGGGAATGTGTGAGTGTGTGTGTTGGTTGGGTGTGTGTTGGAGGGTATGTGTGTTGGTGGGTATGTGTGTTGGTTGGGTGTATGTTGGTGGGTATGTGTGTTGGTGGGTATGTGTGTTGGTTGGGTGTGTGTTGGTGGGTATGTGTTGGTGGGTGTGTGTGTTGGTGGGTGTGTGTGTTGGTGGGTGTGTGTGTTGGTGGGTGTGTGTGTTGGTGGGTGTGTGTGTTGGTTGGGTGTGTGTTGGTTGGGTGTGTGTGTTGGTTGGGTGTGTGTGTTGGTGGGTGTGTGTTGGTGGGTGTGTGTGTTGGTGGGTGTGTGTTGGTGGGTGTGTGTTGGTGGGTGTGTGTTGGTGGGTGTGTGTGTTGGTGGGTGTGTGTGTTGGTGGGTGTGTGTGTTGGTTGGGTGTGTGTTGGTTGGGTGTGTGTGTTGGTTGGGTGTGTGAGTGTGTGTGAGACATTTATTCCATATTTGCACCACAATGATTGTGAAGTCACCATTTGTAACCGAGTTTCTACGAAAGCGTTGTGTTTTTCTGTGCCAGGTTTTAAGGTGAAATAGATAGGGTTGGTGAATAATTGTGCAACACTCTGCCCGTTCTCTTCCAGCACCAAAGCAGCCCCCACTTTTTGTGTGTATGTATGGATGCCGGGTTTTTGGGGGGGGTTGGGGTGGGTGAATTCTGACCTCTTGTGGTGCTGAGCAGCCTTTGTCAGCTACAAAAGACAAAGCGGATGGAGGGAGTCTCGGATGATGGGCTAAAAGGGGCAAGACAGAGATCTGGGCTGGGTGGTGGATCGACAACAATAACAACTTGCATTTATATAGCACTCTTCAGGCAGGGCAGTGTCTGGGATCAACTGAATGCACTAGTTGTTCTGCTTGTAACTAATCCAGATTAAAGGGATCTGCGTGAGCCATTAGAGTTTTCAGTTATAAAAAATATAATTAGCTATAATTGGCTAAATAAATTGGTGAAATTTAATTAGCCAATTAAAAAATCTCTTGCACAACCATCTGTCAGTGAAGGGAATGGTGCCTTATTTGTTTTTAATTAGAAAACGCAAACTACAGTGACACCACCTCTCTAGAGAATTATTTTATTAACATCCAGCCCCCACCCCCCTCCTTCCCAGTCAAATTTAATACATTTTTTAGGTAGCATTTAATAATAATCCTTGGAATTATTATAGCTCACGCAGTTGAGACATCTCAAAGCGCTTCACGCAATATAATGTAAAGTGGATTGACTGCGTGTTTTGTGGGTGAAACTCAAACAAAATTTCTGCCTCCTTTTGAGCAATTGGGAACTGGGACAGGCTGCACTGCTTCTCTCATTCAAATCTGATGAGGGATTTGCTCCAGCAGGGAAATCAATTTGCAAAGCCTTCACAGGGAATAAGAGACACTTACAGGAAACCATCACAAGCCAGGTGCGACTCAAGAAGGCCCTTTTGTCCCATTTTAACTCATCCTTTCCCAACATCCACCCTTCTGTCTTTGCAGTGCAGTAGTTTCTTACGAGTCCAACTTCCTGGTTTCTAATAACCTTTATAACAATAATACTTGCATTTGTATCAAACCTTATCATTTCATCGAGACATTGCGGACACCATCCATGGTTGCACATTCAACCTTGCTAAGCCAGTCCGGAACCTTGGGGTCTTGTATGACCTTCAACTATCCTTTCTACCCCACATTCGCGCCATTCCCCGCTCTGCCTTCCCCCACCTCCGCAACATCATCCGGCTCCAACACTGTCTCACACCACAGGCCACCGAAACCCTCATACGCTCCTTCATTACAATGAGGCTCGACTATGCAAACTCACTGCTTGTCGGCCTCCCCAACTCCTCCCTCCACAGGCTGCAGATCATCCAAAACTCTGCAGCCCATGTCCTCTCCCGCATTAGGCTCTGTGATCCTATCATCCCCATCCTTGCCCAACTCCACTGGCTTCCCATCACACAGAGGATAGTTCAAGATCCTGGTCCTCACCTTCAAATCCCTCCATGGTCTTGCTCCCCCCTACCTCTGCGACTTCCTAACCCCCTACCATCCTGTTCTCTCACCTCGCTCAGCGGGCTCTGGCCTGCTTCACGTCCCCCGTCTCACTCATCCCACTATTGGCGGGCGGGCCTTCTGCCACGCTGCACCCACCCTCTGTAACTCCATCGCACAGTCCCTCCATCTCACCATTTTCAAGACCCACCTCAAGACCCTCAGTTCAGGTCCAAAACTCTGTCTGTCCAGCACCTTGGGACATCCTCCCGATGTGAAAGGCGCTTTACAAATGTAATTTTGTTGTTGTCTCAAAGCGCTTCACATGATGGGCTGTGAAGTGGATTGATGATTCTGTGGGTGATTGTAAATAATGTAAATTTATGTGAATAGTTGCTCTCACAACCTTGAGCTCTCTTGCCTTCTACCTGAAAGCACCATAGGACAGGAATATAGGGGGAAGAGGCTCAGATGGATACATGGAAATGTGGTGGTGAAGCACTTCAATGCTATAATCAATCATGCAGACTCAGAAGAAATGGCTTTGAATTCATGCTCTTGTATTTATTATTTTCCCAATATATCTTACTGCAGAATTTATGGTTTCCTTCAATCCTAGGTCAGTGTTATTGCCAGCGGTTAAACAGGCTTTTAGATAGCAACCAAGATAATATAAACTGTGCCTGATAAAAAAAAGCACCAACCTGTTTACGGTTAATTAAGAGGATTATACAAGTAGCTATTTTTAGGCCAGGTTTATTAATGGGAGAAAGATTAGAGGAAATTATGCGAGTGTGGGGTAACTTTGCAGATGAATTTGAGTCGTTTATCATAATTTCTATCAGTCCATTAGTTGTCACAAGATACACTGCAGTTTGAGAGCTGTGCAGCTGGTGTTTCAGATCCAGCAGCAAGTATAAACTGTGAAAGAAAGGTCACCTTTTGCTGCGCAGTCACAATGCTGTTCAATGTATTTCAACTTTCCTTCAGCTACAAGAGGTGTTGCTATTTAAAAATAGCCACAGACTATTCCCACTCCGCATGAATACCTGCAAAAGCCTATACGAGGCTTAAGGATCATTTTTCTTTTCTCTGATAGCAATCGCTAGAGTTGGTACCCAACAACATTGGATTTGTGACAATAACTGCATTTTTGTGGAAAAATGTTATACACTGGAGTGTTAAATGTAGTGGTAACATTTTAACAAGATCAGTTTTAAAATGCCGCATCAAGGATTACAGTTCCTTTTTAATTTTATTTGTGAGATTTAATCTCCTTTTAATTGTTTTTTGTGACAGAAGATAAATTTGTCAATATTCTCGTTCAAACTGCAACATGTTAGCCTGCTTCAGTTTGTAACGTTCTTCCTCCATGATAGAGGGCTGTGGGTTCAAGCCCCACTCTGGGACTTTGAGCTCAGTCTATACTAACACTCCAGTGCTGGGGCAAACCAGCATTATTGACAGTCCTGCCTTTAGGAGACATTTAATATCTTCCCGTTCAGCTTAAGGTTAAAGATCCCATTGCACTATTCAACAAGAGAAGGAACTACTAATAATTTAACCACCAGATAAATTAGTTATTCATTTCATGGCTATGTGTGGGGCATTTCTGCATGCAAATTTGCCTACAATTACCTAGTCGCTAAACTTTACAGACAGTGTGTGTGAAGCGCTTTGTGACGTTGACATTACAGGCACTGCATCAAATGTAAGAATAGCCAATACGTGGAGGACGATTGGAGGTCAGAGCACCTCCCTTCTACAAAAGAATATTTATAGTACTTTCCCTCGAGTTAGAAGATTGTGGGTTCAAGCTGACACGTTAAAACAGTGCTTGGGGTGTGTTGCATTGTTGGAGGTCCTGTTCTCCGGATCCCTTCTGCCTGTTCAGGTGAATGTTAAAGATCCCATGGCATTATTAGAAAAATGAAAGGAGTTTCTCCTGGTGCCCTAGCCAACAATCCTCTGTATAAAAACGATTGGTCATTTGTTTCATGGCTCTTTGTGGGACATTGCTGTGTGCAATTGAGCTGCCATGTATGCCTACATGTACAGACACTCGATTTCACAGTAAATCCTGTGAAGCACTTTGAGATACCCTTCCAAATGATAAGGCACTATACCAAATGCAAGGACTATTATTAAATACCCTATTTAATCTCCTAGTAATACCAAAGAACCAAACTTCAGTGGGTACAACTTTACTCTTGTTTTCCGGCACCTGCAAGATGAACATTCTTACAATGAGATTGTGAAGATTTCTTTTCATTTTAATTCCCTCTGTGCACCATTTGGTTGAGTATCACATGAATTAAAATTCACTCAAAATTCAGCACAAACCTCCCCACATTGTACTTAACCAAGTTCCCGGTTCAATTTCACTCACTTAAAAGAAACAATAAAGGCAGTTTATACTATACATTTTTATATATAATACAATCCAGTGACATTGCAACCTGTTCTGTAACTGAATTGTTAAAATTGCTGGGTTAAATGGGCTGAACCAAACTCTTTTGTCGCTGTCTTGTGGGAAACACTGAAACAAGGTTAGACAAGCACTGTAGGAGTGTGTCTTTTTTAACAAATAAAGTCAGGTTGTAACTTATGATGTAGATCATCACTACATTGCAATGATAGGATTCTGCACCCAACACCACGAATTTGGTCAAAAAAAATTGGTCACTCAATCCTATAATTTATGATTGTTTGTGGGACTCTGCTGTGCGTATTTGATATAGTGCTTTATCATCTCATCGACTTGGAACTCATATAGGACTATTGTGGAGGCCTGAAGCTTAGTGGTTAGAGCACTCGCCTTGCAAACAACAAGATTACATTTGTATAGCACCTTTCATGCCGGATGGACGTCCCAACGAGAGGACCTGGGTTTGATTTCCAGCAGGGCGATACGTTGGACAAGTTTCCTTACTCCACACTCCTCTGTTTACCTAACAGGAAGTAGGAACCCGGTTGTTGGTCGATTGGCGGATTGCTTTGACAGGGGTAATATATCCTTCAAGTTCAAAAAAAATAAAAATTTGGTCCCTCAATCCACGACTGTTTGTGGGGCACTGCTGTGTGCAATTAGCTGCTGCATTTTGCCCACAAAATATACAGTCAATTCACGTCAAAGTGAAGCGCTTTGAGACATCTTTAAGACGTGTTAAAGAGCTGTATCAAATGCAAAAATTACATAATCCTTTTTTTAAATACAGTATAAAAAAAATCTAATTTCAGCAACTTAACCATTTCATTCGCTTTTTGATCATGCAAAATGTAGTGTTAAGGTTCACGGGAAGCTATTTCAAGATTGCTATGCAGCATCAATTCGCTTTTTAAGTGGAATCTGTATGCAGGGCTGAAATACTGAGATCCTCCATGCAAAAACTAAGTTCTGAGAATAGTATGAAACTTCAGGGGGACAATTTTGCACATAAAACAATGCAGTTAATCTTTATCCACAGCACAAATATTAGAGGAAATCAGTGCAGAAAGCAACACTGCAAGCAAAAATAATGATCAATATAAATCACTTTACTCTTCCTGATTGCACTGGTCTCATTTAGAACTATAGTTCAAGATGGCAGCTCTGACCTACTTGAAGTCGTACAGTACACTGTGCATAACAGCCAGGATACTAGTTTGTGGAGTGCAGTCGTATGGCTGCAAATAAGTCAGAAACTCAGATGGTTAAGAACTAAGTGTAGGCCATTTTAAAAAAGTATTTTAAAAAAGTAAAAAAGTATACATGCAAAAAGAGGGCATTAATAATAATCATAAATAATAATCCCTCCAAAAATCAAAACAATAATAAATTGGTCATTTTCAATCCATGACTGTTTGTGGGACACTGCTGTGCGCAATTGGCTGCTGCGTTCGCCCACAAATATACAGTCAACTCACTTTACTGTCTATTCTGTGAAGGGCTTTGGGACGTCCTCCCGACGTGAAAAGCGCTATATCAAATGCAAAGATTATTATTATTAATACTTTTACGAATGAAAGTGTTCCACAAATCATCAGGTATTGAGTCATAGATGGAGATAGGAACAGATTTTAAAAAAGCCTGTGAAAACAAATTAATCTGGAAAGCAGAGATTACACAAGGACCATTCATTACCTTATAGGTACAATCGCCATCAATCTTTGAAAGAAAAATCTTACTTTTCACAAACCATGAATCATTGGACGCCTTCTTAGAAACTAGAATCATTATCTTTTGCCATCAGAAATAAGAAATTTAGTGAAAAGTAGTTTTGTCGAGGATAAAAATGCCTTCATCCTTTCACCTCGAGTTCATGCTTTTACTTCCAACGAAATGAAGTTCCAACACAACTTCCTCAACTTTGAGAATTTGCAGCCAGCAAATCAAACCCGTTGGTGGGATTTGGGTTGGGAAAGAGGGGAGAAGAGTAATTGTGTATTAGTTATATTCCGAGTAGTTGTTCCCCTATAAAGGGATGCCCTGTAGTACAACGATTTACAACGAGGTTATTCGAGGGTAACAGTTACAAGCTTGGGAGTTTATTTTATTGAAAGTTAAAAACTGTTAAAAAACAAAACACCTTGAAAGGCCAGGGCTGATAGCTTAAAGTTGATTCCTGACTTGGCAATGGACTAACATACCACCAGCATGTTTGGAAGTTGCCATCATCCAATAAATGCCAACCAACTAGTGCTTAAGCATTCACGGTTGCCTTCTCAGTAATCGCCATTCCCTCCATTCATTGCCGTTAGCTTCTTCCTCTCAAATCCTTCTTCCAATTCTTTGGCGTTTCGTTTTCTCCCACTTTCCATTTTACAGAGGTGGATAAAAGGCTCCAAGAAAGATGCTCGTTTTATCTAATTTTCCAGTTAACCAGAATATTCAAAGCATTTTAAAATGAATTGCATCAATTCTCCCTTTTTTAAAAAAAAATAAAACACAGGAGTGTGGGATTAGGGTAGGATAACTAAAACAGATGAGATGATGGAAGAGGACTGAAATGATGGGACAGGATACGTGAACTCAATAGCCTTTCCCATTGCTATGCTTACCTTGAAAGATGACTTGGATCGGTTTCTATTAAATACTAACACAGCTAATGTACACACTGCAAGCCATTTGTAATAATTGCAAGCTTCATATTATTTTAAAAGTCAAATCCATTCAGATTTTCCAGATGTCGCCGTTTCCAAGTGACACACGACATGACTGGATGAAAGAATTGGGGAAACGAACTATGCTTGGATCAGAAATACCTATGTAATAGAATGGATCTCCTTTCAGTTGTCGTGGCACAGTCTAAGCTTCCAAATGAAACCGAAACGCAGGACAACCCCATTTTCCTTTTTATACAAATCAAAAGAATCTGCCCAGGGTTACAGATACATGTTTAAAACTCTCTTTAATGTTTGCAAAGTAACACAAAACCAACCAGATATGCAGGCAAACGAAAAGACACAGGCAAAATTATAGGGAGAAAGCAACAAATTATGTAACTGGTTGAAGTCAGCAAAATGATGTTTCACTAATATTTCTACAAGCACACAACCAAGTGATATTGTACAAAATGGATGGACACTGCAACAAGCGTACGAAAAAGGTTGCTTGGTTATATATAGTATACAAGTTCTAAGCCAGTTTGAATTTGGAGTTTAATACAATTCTTAAACCCTTGCATTTGAAACACAATTAGTACCCTTTCTTTTTAAAAAGAAACAGCTACAGATTAAAGGGAAATGATGTCTCAGGTGGGGGTGGGGGAAGAGTTATGGAAGGGGAAAAGAAGAGTTTCAGCATAAAGTACTCATCTGTTCTCAGGAGGAAATAGAGCTTGTTGCACAAGTCTGCAAGTAGGAAAATATCAGATCAGACGTCCCACCAATGGAACCAAAACCGTTCACCTGCGCCAATACTAGCAGGGATCAGGATCTTTCTCAATTATAGGACTTGAATGCAAGTCAGTGGCTCAATATTGCGGAGTCAAGAGTTAGCCAAAGACCTGCTCCTACATTCAACCAAGACATTCTTTTCTAATCAGACGACCAGTCAGGTCTTCAAAAAGCTCCTTATGGATTTCAGAATTCTCTCACAGAGCAGACACAGCTAACCACATATTTTCTTGTGGGGAAAAAAAAGGGGAGGGATACATGGAAAAAAAGAGCACTTTACACTGGGAGTACTTTGTCAGAATATTCCCCTTGCAAAATTCCCCTAGAGCCTTTTTTTTAAAACTAAAAAAATTACTTTGAACTGTGAATACTGAGTGTCTGGGAGAAGATGCTGAGGCAGTGAGGAGGAGCTGAAGGTTCACAGGCACAGCAATAAACCCAAGAAAGCTTCAGTGATCTAATTCAACTACAAGCACAATAATTTACATCCAACTCACCATCTCCTTCCAGCCAAGTGCCTCAGGTATCACCACTCAAAATGTCAATCAGACTTTGAAACACTGGAATTTTTAGCGAGGGCTGACAACCGTGCCATGCCTCGGAACATTGCAACTGCATCCAACAAAACTATTTCTGCCTGTTTCCTCACAGCAAGTAACTGGGACTAGTTTAAAATGATTTATTTCTCTTTAAAAGACACTTATGGCACTATCCCTGAATCAGAAAGGTTTGATTGATTGCTGAATACAAAATAATTATACAAAAAGCGTGAGTCAAACAGTTTATTTATTTATGTTCAGGTAAAAACATTAACCTGATGAAAGTTATTATTGCAGATTTGAGAAACCAGCACATGAACAGTTGGACAGAGCAGTGCCTACAAGTGCACTATCCTCATCAAACTTTTAGAGAGCTCAACTATTTTGTTCAAAGCTAGCAGTGCAAAAACAATTAAGTGAACTACAACACGGTAAATTAAACAAGGTAAAGCAACCATCCCACTGTAACAGCAAGTGGAACCTTTTTTGTTTTTTGTTTTTTAAGTTTTACACCAACTTGAAATGCTACCTGTCCCTTAAATAACAAAGACTAACCAGCCCGATAATTGTTTAAACTACAGAATTAAAAAAAAGGGGATATTTCAGCTCAGTAATGCTGAAAATTCAGTTGCCTGAAATCATTCTGTAAACAAATCTAGTGTGTGATTGGGGCTTCTGCCAAACGTCCTATTTGCAACATAACTACTGGCAAAGTACTTCAGTACTGAGATTACTAGATGTGAGAGTTAAGAGACAGCGATGCAATTATGCTATGACACCCTTTAGGCCAAAACAGGTCAACCAAAACTTTGAAACGTGTTTAAGCCTGTAGCTCAATCTTTTTTGTTGGATCGCAGGGTTAGAAAATATCACAGAAAAGCAGGACCCAAGTTACATCACACAAGTGCAGATGAATTAAACATAAAGGACAAAGTGAATGGGGAAGACAGGGCAGGGATGGGGAGAGAAGATGGGAGGAAAACAGGCAAGTAACACTAAGCAGAGCTTAAATTATTTTATGCAAGGTATGAGTGACTTAATTAATTTTTGCATGTTTGTACATATTAATCTTTGGAACCAAAACCACCAGATATGCAGGCTCCAGATGGATACACACACCGATATCAAACTGCACAGTGACATTTTATTGTTCCATCATCTTCGAAGAAAAACATCCCTTTCTTTCTCTCTTTTTTTGTTTGAATACCACACAGAAAAAAGCAATTTAAAAACTGCACCCATCAAATAATGGTTAAATTAACAAGAACTTGTTTAAGAATTTATTTTTGTTTAAATCTTGCATTAACTTTGGGGGGGGTCTTTTTTTTCAATTTCTCTCAGTCCGTAGGGGCTATTTTTAATAAATATACCATCCAAGTCTTTTCGTTGAAGATCTGCAGCATACCAAGCCATTTCTACAAGTACGCTGTACACATTGCCTTGATGCAGTGATACACTTAGAAAATAAATCATGATTTTTTTGTCATTTGTTGTTGTAACAGGCAGCTTGAAGATTCAGACGCTGTGATCAGGAGAGATGGAACGACTGCTGCCCTTCTCTAGCAGCTATTAAAAGTTTTTCACGCATTATATCGATACTGGAGTAATCTGGCAACTTGAGATAATTAACACAGGTCATTACTGAGGGCAAAAAATCATCAGGATTTTCTGTGGATTCAAAGGTCTTGCGAACGATGGTCAGTGGAGGGTTCAGGCTCCGAAACCCTGTGAAGACAATTCTTCCATTAGCTTCGCTATAGAGATCAATACAGTTTGTGCTACCCAAATCTTCCCACTCTATTGGTGCTTCAGATGGCAGGAATTTAACTTCCATCTGACTTTTTTTTCAATCAAACTTTTCACCACGAGACACTTTGCAAAGAGGATGCAATTACACATTTGTGAACATTCCCCATTAGCAAGACATGTCACATTCAAAGAGGCTTATAAAAAAATAACCTTTTGGCAGCCAGAGCATGTATACATGACTCATTAATGCTTGACAATTTACCTTGTTAAAAAGCTCAACACAACTAAAACAATGTAATGCTAAACTACGCTAGTGCATCGCATTTCCTCTGGAATCTTTAATGTGTGACACATTAACAGCTGATACCGTTGATTAACCTTCAACAGTCCAACAGTCCACCCCCACATAAACTGGTAACCAAGGTTCCAAGTGATGGGTAAACACTACAAAATATGATGGTTCCAATGCTGCTGGGAACAAAGTAGGATAAAGCAGATTTGAGGATGGACCAATGTTTTTGCTGAAGTTCTGCTCGCTGACCTTGGGTAGAACTTTTCCTCAGAAGAATGAGTGGGTGGGATGGAATCTATGATGGGGCAGATTATGTAGAGACTATGGAAGGAGGAAGCACAACGGGCTCAACTAACTTATTATTCCCATTTGTAGTAAGCCTTCATGAAATCTACACTACAAAGGCTAATATTATCATAATACTAATTTCTATTTCCACATTTTCCAAATTAATTTCTGAGAAGTGCTCCTTCATTTACTATTGATCTTCCCTATTTTTTGATGTCTGATTATCTCCAGACAAAAGTAAAGCCCACAGGGTTACAGATACATGTTTAAAACTGTAAAGTCCTCGGTGCCCTGTAAGTGGCAGGTTGTAGAGATTCTAAATACTGATCAAGCCGCTGAAGGCATATTTATGTGGCTGCAGTTGTGCATTTTCTTGGGAGACAAACTTACATCAAACCCCCAAACCTATATTTGATTTGCCCAGAAATCCTAGCAGTGTATCACAAGGATGAAAACAGCTGGCTTACCTCCAACGGGGAGTCGGGGGCTACCGGTAACAAATTGAAGAAACAGTCTCTGTTGTTCACCATCAAAACTGCTGAGTATTTCAAACAGAAATTTAACAGCACGACTGTGGGACAAAAGAAAAAGTTGAAAGGTTTAATACTTTTATCTGCCACATTTTAATAAAAGTCATAAAAATTCTCAATGCAAACAATCAATTCTGGGCACATTTAGTGCAATTGTGGTCCTTTTGCCCACAAAATATGCAGTCAATTCACAGTATATTCTGTGAAGCGCTTTGAGGTGTCTCAAAAGCTTGATAAATACAAAGATTATCATTTTAATTACTATGGCATCCAGCAGCTTGTTAAACATTTTATCTAAGATATCTAACTTGTACTTTACTTGAAAGAAGCTGTTTGTTGATCAGTGGATTTGAGCCTCCCTATTTGTATTTATCCAAATGGGGAAGCATATACATAGGTGAATCTGAATGCCAATTTCCAGCTTCACACGGAACACATTTTAAGCTCATGAATTTCAAAACAGCATGCTCTCTTTATAAGGCAGATAGGAATAGTTCAGCATTGTACTTTAATGGCATGGCTCTAAATATTATTCTTTTTATCGCAAAGACAGCTGGAATTTTGAGCTGGCTTGTAATGTTTTGCTTCCCTGCCACATTATTCTCTCTTGATTGCTATACCATTCAAGGTTTATATTGCACTTGTTTCCAAAACTAAGGCCAGAACATCCCACCTGTTTGTTCCAGAATTTGCGATAACAAAGGGAAAGTTGTGATGCCAGGGGTTCAGATGTGCAGGTCACATGTAAACTTGGCAATTATTTACCTGTCATGATTATATCCATGATCTGGTCTGCAACACTCCATTAAAGTCTTCACATCCCAAGCCTCCGACTTGCTGCCACAGAGTAACTGATCCAACTGTAGGGCAAACGAGGGAAAAAATAAAGCCATACGGAGTACAAGTCAGTACAGTAAGTAAACCTCAACTTTGTCGGTTTACATCATTCACTAAACTGGAGGTTTTGATTTGTGGATTGGGAAAGTAGACAATGCAATCGGCACATGTACGTAATCAGCAAATGGATAGTCCCAGACACAAATCTCTAGGGCGTTTAAACATTTCACCAGCCAGTCCTAATCAGGTAACTGAGGACGGCATTGACTACAAAGGAAATTCTACTAAAATGTACAATAAATCCTTCATCTTAAAGTTACAATATTGAGATATTAGAGTTGAAGCTATAATGTTTCAACCCACCCCCCAATCCTGTCAAACTGTGATAGGAACAGAGGGTACGTTCACATTACAGCGGCTATTGATTGTTGCGGGCAGAAAAACGCTGAACAAAATACCTGACAGCCAAAGTTGCAGTGACAAGTTTTGGATTACCTAAAGGCTGAATTGGAGATGAGCAAAATGGGTGAGCACCAGTCAAAGACTTCAGTTCTGAAGATCATGACAAGAGTTGACACCAGAATGGTGGCCAAACTGTAGCAGTTAAATAGACACCGAACATCTATTTACCATTCAAAACAAATTCATTTTGCCAAAGTGAAGAAGCAATTTTAAAAAAAAACTATGAAGCAAGCAAAAATAATTAAAGCTATCAGATTGATGGTGTGCATTACTCTATGTATGTATCTAGGATGGTTTCAGAAACTCATTACACGCTGGTTCATAACACAAGCAGAATGAGCATTAACTTTGCCCACTGATTCCCAATGTACCAGAACACATGAAATACATTCTACAACCCAATTAGTTAAATGATATTTAGTAATGGACTGATCAATTACTGCAGTAGCAATTGCCTATATCAGCAGCCCTTGGTTCTGAACAGAAGCTCCAAATTAAAACAATCTATCTTTTAGCTTCAACATCTTGGATTCTTTTCTGAGGATCCAGGGATATTAATCTGGAGGTGAGATCTGTTGCACTTAACTACAGATTGCTTATCACAGGAAAATGCAACATGTATAAAAAAAACTAACCTCTTCAGGGTAAAAATACTGCAAGTGATGGAGTGGGAAAACAGACTCAAAGCCATCTCGGAAAGAGTCAAACTGCTTGGAAACGCCTTCATTTAAGGTCCAGTACACTACCAACTGTAACAGACAGAAAACTGTTAATTTCAATGCAAAGCACAACACACACTTATTCATTTAGGGCAAACTAGTTTCAGAACCCTTGAAATTCAGTTGCCTCAATTGTTCCCCCCTTCCCTTTTTAAAAAAAAGTGCTTCTTCCTCCTCCCCTGCCCCACCGTACCATTCCCAAGCTTTGAGTTTCGAGGCTAATTGGATCATTCTTCTCTCTGCAAATAGGGGTTTGGGGTAGGTGCGGCCACTTGGTATTGTGCTCCTCCAAACAAGTGTGAAATGATATTCATAACTATTTGCATAGTTCAATTCTGTGCAACCGCACACAAACTTTCTCATTAATTCAATACATTTTAAATTCCATGTAGATGACAATAAACAGAAGGGTTCCGTTTGGATCAACAATTCACTAGATTAAGAAACTAAATGAAGATGCTTTGAGACGCCTCGAAGACGTGAACAGGCACAATGTCAAATGCAAGGATTATTATTATAAATTCAAACTAACCCACCAATTCTTAAAACAAAACGGGGTTTCTATAATAATAATAATCCTTGCATTTGATATAGCGCTTTTCACGTCGGGAGGATGTCCCAAAGCGCTTCACAGAATATACTGTAAAGTGAATTGACTGTATATTTGTGGGCGAACGCGGCAGCCAATTGCACACAGCAATGTCCCACAAACAGTCGTAGATTGAAAATGACCAATTTATTATTGGTTTTGGAGGGATTATTATTACGCTCTGTGTGGAGTAAGGAAACTTGCCCAAGGTTTCACTCTGCCTGGAATTAAACTCAGGTCTCTCACTTGCAAAGCGAGTGCTCTAACCACTGAGCTACATGATCTAAAATTTAAGCCAATAACATGGGGAGCAGATCTTCCGTGAAGTAGTATTTTGTATGTACAGTATTACATTTGGAGAACCCTATAGATTAGTAATGAAAGGAAAACAATTTGGAACATGTTCACCTCGAATAGATTGATTCCAAGCCCAAGAAAGAGGACACATAACTACAAGGATTGCTTTGCTGTGTTCATACCACTTGAGATATTAAGATTACAACTGAAATCTACGCTACATACCCTCAGATACTCCTCCAGATTGTGAATGGTGACACTTGTGTCCTTGCCCCCTTTTTTTAGTTCAATGTTAGGGTGTCCAGGCAGCGTGAAGTCCAGTCCCAAGTCCTCCACAGAGCAGCCATTCATGTTCAGGCTTTCCAGGGCCTGCTGAAGACATTCTTTGCTCTGTAAAAAAAAACATTTCAGATTCAGACTTGCTTATTCTGAACAGCGTATTGCAGTAGATCAGGGATGTGACTGAATATTAGTCAGGTTTTGAACACAGTTCAGACTCCCCTTACAAACATGAAAACTATCACTTCTCATTCTTGGAATAAAGTTAAACCAATTGTCTCAAATCCAGCAGAACCTTTTGGTTCACAACCCACAAGATCGGACACTGTGTGCAGAAGATACACTTTCAACAATGAAGGCGATATTTAAATACAATTAACCAGTGGAAGAAACAATTCAACTGTACAACACCTTTTTCCAAGTGTGCTAACAGGAGGTACCGCCATCATCAGAGGGCGAACCTAAGGTGCATTACTACAATAAAGCCAGGGGATTAGGGGATCTCACCACCCCGCCCCCCCCCCCCAACAACGTTCCACTTACCATTAAGCAAATGTCAGTCTCGCGTTACCTAGGAAACATGGGCGTTGGAAGGAAGACCTCCTTAGAGATTTAGGGGAAGGGAAGGATAAAGGTTGTGTAAATCTCTATTAGACCAGTGAAAACGCCAAAGGCACGCTTAGCACTTTTGTGATTTAAACACTCCCAATTTACAGTGATACTCAGTGACAATTATCACTGTGAAGCACTCAGGAATTTTGCATTTCATCTCATCATAAAAAGACTTCCATTTACTCCAAAAATCCACATTAAAGCATAAAACATCCAAAATTACACTCGCCTGCTTTATCTTAAACCTTTGATTCCAATTCTACAGAATGAGCACTGAAGAACAAGAGAAAGAGCATGTTGAAAGCAGGTCATTTTCCCACAACCTATCATCCAGGTTATGAAAGCAGATTAGTGCAATACTGCATTTGAAATGCACTTGCATTTCCAGCATTCAGATTGCTAAACACAGCTGCGGAATGGGCCAAATAGTCTAACTGCTCATGATTGCTCTTTTTCCACAAGATTTAATCACCCACTCAATTTGAATGGTGTCACTTCTGAGGTTAGGCGAACAGCTTGAAATATAGCACTAGAAATGCAAAGTAACTTCACACAGTTTATCTGGTCAATAGAAGCAAAGTGCAGATGAGGGGAAAGAGTGACACCCTGTGGCTGATTACAGAGGTGAATGCCAAAGCATTGCAGTATTGAAACTCCTCTGAGGAACCGGCATTCACAGCCACCTTTTGCAAATCTTCAACTCAAAACAGTTTCTCAAAGTGGAAATTGCAGTGGGTATAAGTTTACCCAGATTATCTTTACCCCAAATAAGTTTTAACCAAAGAATGCTCATGTATTCCGTGGCTTGCAGATCAAATAAATCTACATCTTAACTGCAACTACAGCCAAAAGGATGGCATGAATACTGTTCCAGCTCATTCTTGTTGGCCCAAGTAGCAGCGAAGGCATCGATTCTTCCTAGTGAGGCTCTGCTGAACATCGAAATGAAGCATACACAGTTTGTTATCCTCGGCTTGGAAGGACGACTGAGTAACATCTGCAAAGCAATGGGTTTGTCTGAAGTCTCGTTACCAAAAGAGCTACATAAGCTAATGCACTCATCTAAGCAAATTTCTCTCAAAGGAAGAATCAAGGCAGATGAAAACAATACCAATTTTCTGAGACAAGTGCAACTTGAAAGGAAACTCACTGTGCAGTTATTCTGTTCCTGTATTAACACAAATTGGACTGTGCATTTATTGAGCTACAAATTATTCTATTCCAGCCACCCTACAACATGTACTGCATACTCGAGCTGAAAACATTCAAATACTGAATGTAAATGTGTGTATTGTATTGAATTACTACTGATGGTAAGACAGAATTACTACTCTTAGGCATATAGCTTAGAGACTTAATGCAACAAGTTTGTAAAAGAAAATCTCTAAATTTTGTATCATCCTGACTCAGTTGGCAACTCTCTGATCTCTGAGTCAGAAGGTTGTAGGTTCAAGCCCCATGTCAGGGCTTGGAGCTCAATCTAGATTGATGTTCCAATGCAGTGCTGGAGTGTGCCGCATTGTTGGATGTGTCATTTGGATGAGAAGTTAAACCGATGTCCGGTCTGCCTGTTGAGATGGATGTTAAGATCCCACAGCCCTATTTGAAAAGAGAAGGGAGTTTCTCCCGGTGTCCTAGCTAACATCCTCCAATAAAATTGTTAATTCATGGCTGTTTGTGGGACATTGCTGTGTGCAAATTTGGTGTCATGTTCACCCACACTTTACAGTATATCCTGTGACGTGCTTTGAGACGGGATTACATGAAAGGTGCTACAGGAAATAAGGATTATTATTAGATTTAATTTGGAATTACGTTTTGGAAGCACAACTGCTAGGGAAAACCAAGTAACAATAAATGATTTAGGTCTATGGTAAACGACCAGATAAATCCATAAAGTTCATATTGTCGAACACAAGCAGCAACAAATGTGTTCAGCTTCATCTAGTTTACACCCTGCACAGAACACCGTGACGTTGATCTTCATGCTCGGTGTATTCCATACAATTGTTCAATTGTAGCATTGTTGGCTGCACTCCTTGGTTCACTGAGTCAATGACAGAAAGGGGAACCTTGGCAGCATATGTTGAACATTATTAATAAACGATGGAGAGCTGGGAACACGTCCAAGCAGGTGCAAGTTTGATAAACTACAAAGATTTGTGGGCTGAGGGAAGTTCCTAAATAGGAGCCCTCTGCCTCAGAAGATGTGGGGATGCCTTGCCACTCATCAAAGAGAAAAGCTCTCATCTACGGCAATGCTGCTGGCATCCTTCTGTTTGTAATAAGGTTGATTGATGTCCACGCAATTGCCCTGGATAGGTACAGCCCATAACTACCAGTTGAGGGGAAGACGTCAATCTGTATTGAGATGTGCTTCAGCAGTGGTCTGATTTAAGGGTTTGCCAATAGATGAAGCATTTGCTAGATTGCCCTTCGGAAGAAATTGTATTCATTCTCTTGTAGTAAGAAGAATACTGCAGTTAGTGAGTAAGCTTCACTGGCTTATTGAATCAGCTTAAAGAAGTTTTCTGCACAGAATGTGGCCATTCAGCTCCAACACATCTGTGCCATTGCCATTTTTCTAAATTTCCTCTATTTATTTAAATTTCTAGCTCTTCCCCCATTATTACATACCGAGTTCTCATAGCTGTGGGAGTCAAGCACAATTGAAACACATCTTGGTGGGGATGGATTGTGGACTTTTCCTCCACTCATTTTAAAATAACTGTACAACAAAGACAGATGCCATGAATTGGTCACTACACATTCTTCAAAGTTTCTTTACATCAATGTCTAACCAACAGCCATTATCCTTTGCCTTTCAGTGTAGCTATCGACATTCTTGGTCTCACCATAAAATGCTCACATCTCCTCCGTTGCTAAAGCAGCCTCCCAGAAGATTTTCGTGCCAAACCTCTTTTCGCCTCAACTCACCAGGTAGCCAAGTCTGCCCAAGGCTCTTCTGGCACCTCTCAAACTCCTGGATAGAATATAAGAAAAGGCCCATTGACCGATAAGCGATCCTTCTCTTACTGGCGTTAACGCCCTCTGTTTTTTTTGCTACTATGATCATTGCTCTTCTGTTGTTCAATCTCCAAGTGAGCCTCCTAGTCTAACTCTTTCCCAGAAGCTCAAGACTGGAAGCACTTTCCGCTCAGTCTTCTGGTCCTATAAGTCAGCTTTTAAACTCAAGTTTGAGATCATCTAAACCACTCATTGTCCTTGCTTGCTCACTTCAACCTTCATGACAGGCTTTGGCTTTTCCCCTAGGCTTTCAAATAAAAATAAGTGCATCGACGAGTCAGCCAGCCACAAATTCACAGTATCAAAATAGTAGTGGATCACCTTGAGACATACTTTAGGGCCACAGGAAGTTAGGAACAGAACACCATTCAGCCACGATCCATTCCTAGGCCCAAATAATACAAACTTCCCAGCCACATCCCTGAATATTCTTACAATTCAATCCATTTCTCGTAACTTCCTCAATTAATTTCTCATCCATGGCTTTACAGGGCAGTGTATTACCTGAGACCTGTCCTGCTCCAGTTTACTTTTCTGCTTTGTGATATCCTCAAGATGACAAACTGATTTTGCAACGACTGGATCGATGTTGAAGAGGTCGTGGGAGCAGAGTGAAGTTTCTTGCCGTAACATCCATTTGTAAAATGACAGGCTGAGTGGCAAGTCCAGCTGGTTAAGAGAACATAAAGCATGAATTGAACATATTATATGTACATAAAACACAAGATGCATCCAAAGTTAAATCCCAAGACCCAAAATAACCATTAAATCCCAGTCTTCCGTGTACCATTCATACAGTGAATAGATTCAGGCCAACGAATTAATGATATTTTTTGCAATTTTAGAAAAATCAAGATGAGAGGTTTGAATGAAGACCTTTTTGGCTCTCATATTTCCAGAATGTCAATTCTACCATCTTCCCATTATAAGCAGTTTCATAAACAAGTCCAGGGTCCTGGCATCAATTACATCCTGGTTGCCTCTTGCAGCTAACTATTGCCCTCTATTTAAATATAAATGCTTCCCCGGTGCATGTCCTAAATTCACACTTCACAACCCTGAATCTGTGTCCTCTTGTCCAACTGCTTTGGTGTCTCAAAGTAATGTCCCTGGTTTATTTTCCCTATCCCATTAACATTTACAATATTTTCCTGCTGATTTATTCAATTACATTTTCAATTATTGAGGTCAGGTTTAATCATTGCCAGGTATGGCTCAGTTTCTCTTCTAAACATAGCAATTGATTATGTTGGCTCTCAGTCAACTGGAACAATCACCCGTGTTCCTGTACTCGCTCAAAATGACAATTCTTCACTAATCTCCCTAGTTTCCAAACAAAATGTTACAGTTCATTGAATCCCTCAGGGGATTCAATGCATTTCACACCTATGGATCATCTGGAACTCTATCTCACTGCTCAGTCAACATGTATCGGATGTTGGATGGCATACTGAAAGTAGTAGCCTGTCACATTATATCAAAATCTTAACCTGTGGTTCACTGCCAGAAAGATTTTGAAGTTAGTGCAGATCATTTGGCTCATGCATAGACACTGTTTTGGGGAGCACAGACGTCAGGTTTACAAGCTGCTATAAAGCTGGATGAAATTTAATGAACTGGCATGAATGTCCACTGACATGTTAACCAGTGAAAATGTCCCTGAAAATCAATTTAAACAATTTTTTAATCAACAGTAGTTCCTATTGGCAGCTTAGCCATTTAATAATTTAAGTCTGTAGCAGTCAGTCTGACCCACACCATTATGCAATTTTCATCAGGAAAAAGGAAAACCTTGAATTCTCTGGCTACATTGTTCTCCGAGGACTGACTTATTCAAACAAAGTTTATCTTTATAGAAAATATTTTGAACATGAACATAATGAAATATCTAGAAATGGTTCTCCTTCAGAGAAAACCTCAGCCCCCCAAATACAATTACCACTTTTGTGAACTATTTTGGGGGTGTGGAGGAGGGAAAATCCCTAGGAATACTGTCCCTTTAAGAAACCCTTGCACTTGCCCTGGTTGTAAAGTGCACCTTTAATCCCGAGTGGAGAAGAAAGCTGAAGTGGCAGCAAAAGCCCATGGGCATGTCAAAGCATCCCAACAGCCACCAAGTGACACAACTCCCAAGTTTGTGGTTCAATACAAACAGTTTGTGGAGGATGAAGTTCTTTTACAGAAGGAGGAAGGTTCATTTTCAGTCAGTAAAACGCGAGGTGTATAAAACTTCACAATACTGTAAGATCAGAGCATTTCTTGTTTCAACATAACTGAACAAATTAAGAAAAAATAAGGCCTTAATTTCTTAATTTTCGAGAATGTTAAATAAAATTCACGATTTTGGGTTTCTGTATGCATTCACAGTCCTGTAAGAAAGATGGCCTGTTTGGATAGAGTACTAAAGCCAGCAAAGTTCTGTTAATGAAACATACCAAACGGAAATCCATGATAGCTTTGGCCAAGAACTTCCCCAGAAACCGCAACTTCATTTTGACTTTAGCCACGTATGCTGGTTTTGTATTCCTTCCGAAAGGCACAGGGAAGAGGCCTCGTGGATTGTGGATGTACTTGGTCCCTTCTTGGCTGCCTAATAGCGCAAATAAGGTGATTAGTTCTCACAAGTAATTTCCACTTCACTAAATAGTTTACAATCAAGGTCTGACATTTGCTGGCTGGCCTGTGCTCCGCATGGAAATATGTAAACATTCTATATTAAATATACCAAAATATTTCAGCAAAGCTTTGAAACGCACATAGAATATAAACTGGTATCAGGGTGCAAGAATCTCTCACCTTTTACCCTGTTGAGCTCTGCAAAGAAGGAAATAAACTAGACCTGATATATGGGAACTCTCTTCCACACACAAAAAAGTATAAAAACTCTTTTAGTTTTAAACATCTGTTGCAAGGCATATTTCAGGATACTTAGAAGCAAACCTGGGCATGCAACCAAAATGGTGAACGGTTAACAAGGATTGAGCCCAGAGGTACCATCACATAGTTGCTCACAGCCATGTGATTGGCTCCCAAGAACAAAGATGTAAGGCAATGACTCTTCTGTAATGCCTTTCATAAATGCCGCTGGCTGCAGAATACAGATTTAGTGCTTGATAGTGTTACAAGCTGAGGTTTGCTTTGGCAGGCATTTCAATGCTGTGTTCAGGGAGTCAGGGAAATGGGAGGAAGTGGCAAAATATAAGCATGCCTAGGCATAATTAGAAATTGAATGAAAGTTTATAATTCTATAGGCTCTGGACTCCCACCAATTCAAGCCACATAAAGCAGCAGCGATCACATTCTGAGTCCAGCCAGGTTGTGCACGTACGTGGTAGAGGGTGTTAAGGGAAAGAAAAGAGCAGAACTGGCTGCTTAAAAACCCGAGTAACCTCAAGACGTCCATCAAGCGCGAAAACTTCACTTACCTTTAGGATGTGACAGAGTGACCTCGTCTCCACGCCAGAGTCCCAGATCAGCTCTCTGCAGTTCCTGAGATACAAGTGCATAGAACTCCAATGTTGGACCCAGCCCCGTCCCAACCTAAAAAGAGAATGAAACCTGCTGTAGTATGTGTTAGCTTTCGTTAGGACTGGAACAACAGAAACTAAGCTGATTCTAAATGTGCTTTATTTTATTGCATTTCACCCACAAATATATAGTCAATTCACTTTACAGTATATTCTGTGAAGCACTTTGAGACATCTCAATGATGCGATAAGGTAATACATCAAATGTAAGGATTATTATTTATTGAAGTGCTTACTTCATTTTCATACTGGATCTCCAGCATTGCTCTTGAGCTGCCTAAATCCTGCATAACTGATTCGGCTTGCTTCAGCAGCTCGTCCCTGTTCACAGTACGCTGCACAAGGAGAAAGATGAACAGTCGGAATTGGTAATAAAATGGCAGCTCTCAGGCCATTTGCACATTTCCCCCATTTCTCAGCCAAAACAAAACCTCTTGCTGGTATAAGAATTAATTACATACATTTGAAACATTATATACATTTGATGTTTGATAGGATACCTGGGTCTTGTTCCTTAACATTATTACTCATGTAGAAGAAGTAGAACATAACATTTGACAAATCATGTTATCCTTTTCCATTATACTTCCAGGTTATTGTTAAAATTGCCTGGTGAAATGGATCTAAAACCCCAAAAGCACTTGGAAAATGACTTTAAAAGTTATTCTAAACTACTTTACTCACAAAATAATGAATCTAATTTACAATATTTTCTGGGAACTGCTTTGAGACGTCTGAACAATGTGATAAGGCACTATATCAAATGCAAGGGTTATTATTATTATTATGTATTTCTGCTGCTCATGAAGGCCCAATACAGGCCAGTTTTCAAGTCAGTGGTCCTTTCACAGCATTAATACTACTGTTTTTTTTAGTAAGGCTTGTTGGCAGTGGGAGATAGGATGCAATTTGTACAATTGGTTTTGTTGGGGAGATGTACAAAGCACATGTCATTGATGGAGTGACACTAGATAAATTGGTTATTGGTTGATTCACAATTTAAGCAGCAATGGAAAGAAACCAAATGCTCCATGGATTTCACACCACACATACTCACCTTTTTCCTATCCAGGCGGGGTGCAACCCTACTCTCCTGGGAATCGGACTGGTTGATTTCTGGGTTAGTGTCCAGCAATCTTTGCATGGCTCGATCGCGATCAAACGCAGTCACATAGAACAGCATTTGTCGTGTGTCAAAGGGGAAGAAAAACGGGCTTGAAAACAAAGGACACAATTAGTTTCCTATTTTATTCAAGAACGTATTGAAAACACTCAAACTGAATACACTGAACTCTGAATCAGAAATTCTGATCTTATTAAATTAAGTTTACAAATCAGGGATGAGCCAAGTAGTCTCGTGACATTATATTCTTTGTATCTCTTGGAACAGACTCACACCATATTTTGGCTGCTTTCTTCCCCTCCCCCATAATGTAGACAATTTGACTGGAGTTTTGAGCCGACGTGGACCTGAATATATAATGTTAGCCTACAAAGTACGCTGGGATTTGATGGCGTCTTACATTATTAGTCCTCAGTTCCATCAACAAGGTCATCAGCAGTCGGCTTATGTAAAAATAGACGCGAGAAAACGGAAAATCACTGATCAGCACGCTTTCCTCTATACACACACACACACACACACACTTCTCCATTTACAATCTAAAGGCTGCTTCCCATAATCCGCGGGCAATTGGAAAACATTTTAAACAGCTGTTTAAGTAGTTGACTCAGTGCGGATGATTCATGATTAAAAATCATGGAATGTGTATACGCAAATAAAAGTAGGAAGCTGAATAGAATTTTACTCCACATGTAAGAAACTCTTCCAAATAATAACTATCCCGTCTCCTGCAATTCTGGAACATTTACTATTCCATTTGGTAAATTAATATAAATTGACAAAAATCACATCTAATTTCAGAAGAAGATTTAGCCATCTCCACATACAGTGGGTGTTAAGTCATTAATGGAGAATCAGTCTAATAAATAGGAAAAGATGAAGGGCTCAAGGTGACAGGTGAACATGTTTGTTCTTGTGACACAGAGCTGCTGTGTTACATACCAAGTCCTTCCTAGTTCTGTCAACCATGTTGGGATATTTCCTGTCATGATAACCAGAGGATCTTGAAGCTGGCGGTTAGCTTTAGCAGTCAGCTTGCTGTTGATGAATTCGCTGGTTGGAATAATCTCTTTGCAGAATGCATTCTACATGAGAGAAACAGGACTTAAGAACAATTTTGTGCACAGCAAGACAGATGGAAAACTGCATGCTACCCATTTTTGAATCCCAAGTCAGATCTGCTATTAGTAGATTATTTGCTGATGCCTGTGGGATGCTAAATGCATGCTTTGTTCATCTTGAAATAAACTATTACATCAACAAAGAATTAAAACACTTGAATTTTTTTATAACAATTGGGGTACTGGTGGCGTAAATATAGTCTGTGTCTCTATTCTGGTGCCGCTCCACCCAGCCAAGAGTGGCACCAGGATAGAGATGGGAGGAGTCACATTGTGTTAAGACAGCGGACTCCATCAATTCACAAGTGACTCGATGGGGGGAGGGGGCAGTGACTGCATCCAGTGGACGGGAAGGGGACCAATTCGAGGTGAGATGCTCTGAGATGATTGACACCTGCCAGAGCCGCTGTTAATTGCTCCCCTTCCCGTCCAATGGAAAAGAGACACTCAGGAGAGGAGATGGGGGTAGAAAGGTAAGAAATTCAATTATCAAACTGAGTCAATCAGACAAAACTCCCTGCCCAGATGCATTCGGTTTGTGGATTCCACTGCACTATTGCTTAGAAAGTCTACTTTATGATTAATTTAAGTAAAATCCTATTCTGAGCACAGCAAGGGTACTTAATGTTTATAATCCTGGTTATAAACAACAAAATATAATGTAATCTCGAAAGCAGTGGTACTCACATTATACAGGTAATACCAGTATCGACTGATAGCATGCAGGACTCTCAAAAGCAGAATCACATCCAGGGATGGGTCTTCAAATGTTATACCATCTGGAGGGACTGAAATTAGATACCCTTCTAAAGGATTTCCAACTGCAGGGCACACACCATCTAGAAGGTGAGACAAAGTTGCACAGTTCAACAGTGTAGAAGATAACAACACTTGCATTCATATATTCTTCACACGGTATGTGGAGCTATCTTAGATCAGTAAATTAAATTGTCAAAATGTGATATCCTTAGCACACTCACATCATATACTATATATAATAAAAATAATAGATATATAAAACAAGGATACACTTCTAGGGATCAGGTACCAAGCACAAGAGCAAAATAATTTTGCACGTTGCATGCCCCTGAAGTTAGCTTCACATATTTTACCATTTAACGCACCCTAAAATGAGCAATTAATTGATAAAAGCAGCATTGAAGTTGCAATGAAAATGATGCTATTGTGGAGTCGTTTCAGAATATAATCATGTAATTCATAGCAGGGTTGTCAATTTTGTAATAAAGCAGAATAAAGGTTAATTAAAGCCTAATAGATAATGTTGGACTTAATTAATTCCTCTTAAGTTCAGCATTTCGAGGGCTGCCTCATTTCCCTAAATGAAACATGCAGGGCAACAATTGATCCAAAGGCAGTGAGCGTCCTCACGAAACAGAATTGTAACACATTCTATTAAATTAATAAGCAAATAGCCAGTTAATTAAAATGCTTTAGGTTTGTTATTTTACATACATTCGTTCTTTCAGACCAGACCCAATCCTAGCATTTTCCGTTCAAGCACAATTCAGTGCAACGCTTAGACATTGTATCCATATTCCTGCATTTATTTGGGTTTAAAAACCTTACAATTATCCACAGCACTCACCATGCCACAACTCATCATGCTTTCTTGCATTTCTTGGGGAGGTTTTAGTCGGTGCGGTCTGAGCTCGGCCTCGCTTTCCACCAACCGTATCCTTATTTCCTTCTTCATCCTCTCGAACAGGTTTGTACCTATTGTATGCAGACAGAAGGATTCCTAGTTATTCTGCAGGCAGTTACTGCTTTAACTGAAGGACAGAAATTGATATACATTGGCCCCACACGAGAGGGAGTGTGTGAGTCAGCAGCTAATGGGACACATGGGAAGAAAGGAACACGTAAACTCAAGGTGCACAGGACTTGCATTGACCAATCAGATACATAATGCTCTCCTCCCCAACCCCTATACAAAGTATGCATATGCTGCTGTGCCAGAACAGCATCTTTTTTACATGAAAGAAGGAGCATGACAGTGATCTATAGACCAAACATCTCACTGCTTGGGCATTGTCTGGTACACTGCTGTGTGCAAACTGGCTGCCTCATTTCGCCCACAAAATACATAATTAATCAACTTCACAGTACATCAAGAGACATTTCAACGAAGTGATACGATGCTTCATCAAATGCAAGGATTATTATTACTAGTAGTGGTAACTTGCTGATCACCCAAGTCGTACAGCCGCACATATTTCAAAAGAAAATTGAGAGGACAGTCAATTATGGCTTGTTCTCCAAATTGACTCAGCTATTCAATTACATCTTCAAACCACTGAAGAAGCCCTTTAGACACTACCACATTGAATGAACCAAATTTAATTTTAAACCTGCTAATTTGCCTCAGGCTGGGAACGCTGTAACAGAAATCACATCCTGTCTCGTGGCTACACTCCTCCTGACGTGAAAGGCGCTATACAAATGTAATTTTATTGTTGTTGCCCTCAGTGTGAATAGAAGATTGACAGCCAAACCGTAGGGCTGGTAAAAAGTAGAACTCTAGTTAATACTTATCGTATTTGTAAGTTGACATAATACAAATTAGTATCATACAAATAGCTGCCCCCCAACATCCATAATTAATGGATCCAGGGACTGGCTATAAATTCATGATGCACTGAAACTTCAACAGCAACTGAAATGCTCCAGTGCAAGATTCTCCAAAAATACAAATGGTAACTTAATTGCTTGTGAGACTTATCACATTTTGAGGGAAAAAAAGACAGGCTAAAGAAGATGTAGTGATTTTAGATAGGCAGAAACCAGAATATGCCCACCATTGTTAAGGAGGGTTCTTACATACATCTTTGCATACATCTCTACAATGAGACAAGTCCACGACAAACTCGCCATGTTTTGAAAACTGTCTTGTTTACTGTATGATGCAAAATAGTCCACAGTCTGTTTCCCACATACTATACAGGCAAAAGCACTTTCTTTCACCTCCTTTATCAATATTAGCAATTAGTCTTAGGAATTGAATAAATGAACACAGGTATTTCAATATGCAGCTCCTCTGATTAGTATTCTTCTATATATTTTCATTGCTGTTTGCAATACCACAATACATGATTGCAGTCAAGCTTCTCAGTGAAATGCAGAAGGCCTGTAAACAACTTCTTTGAAGTCACAAGATTATCATGGGTTGATTGACTCACTCCCATCAATAGGCTAAGCTCCCAGAGGAAAACAAAACCCTCAGTTTTCATTCATTTATTGGAATTTTTCCATGTTGCAAAACCAATGAAACCGAATGATGCAAAACAGGCCACAGACTCTGCCATTTTTTAAAAAAATACGTCAGTCAAGAAAAAAAAATCCTCCACAATTTTCAGACCGACACGTGGAAAATCCCGCATGACTAAGTCAACTCCAAAAGACTTAGCACGTTTGTGCTCAGAAACAGAGTAGAGACATTAAAGTCTACATGTTGGCTATTTACAACAAAAACTTGCATTTATAGAGAGCCCTTCACGTGGAGAGCTTAAACTCGACAAGGTAGTGTCCATGATCAGATTCTAAAGAGACTGCGTACAGGAAACCCAACTGTCACATTTTTATTGTCTCATCTACTGTGCACTTGTTTACGATGATAATGGAGTGGATGAGAGTTTTAGCTGCTTTGCAGTGAGGTAGGGTAGAGGTGAGAAGTATTACGGATGTGAGGAACTAGATGAAAGGTTTAAAGAAGAGCTGAGGGTCAAATAAAATGTCAAGTTTTTGAACTGGCTCTGTGAGCTGAGTTAGCAACCCAAGAGGTTTCATACAAGTGCCAGCGATGAGGAGCTGAGGATGACTGGTTTTAAAAGCACAAATTTTGTTTTTCACCTCAGAGTAACACCTTAATCTACAGAAGACAAATAGATCAGTCACACATACCACCTAATGAATGCAGGTTATACGTACCATATAGTATGAGTTTTAGTCCATATTCCTGCCCTTCCTAACGGATTGCTTTCATCATCAGTCGACTCCCTTTCCTCATCAGCTTGAACACTGAACTGCCTGACAGCTTGGTAAACAGTCATGTTGTAAGGCAGCAAGTGATCTCCAATGTAAAACTGTAGTCTATGCCTTACGCTCCCTGAATTCAAGAATTGGGCAGCCTAAAGAATAAAATGGAGAGAGGTAAAAGCTGAGCAATTATGTGAAATAGTCAGCATCACAATAATGAATAAGCAAAGAACATGCAGCACGTTTAAACAAATGTAGAGCAAAGAAGGTTATCAAAATTCTATAAGCTCTTTTTTTTAATATAAACCAGAGGTGCTACTGCACAAACTCGTTGTTGTTAAACAGGGGAAGACACAGCACAGATGCCACAGTAAAAAAAAGTATGATGCAACTGGGCTAAAGGCTTCTGATCAGCATTTTGGCTGTGAAGAAATACCAGTGGTGATGTCGTATTCTGGAACCGGAAGCAGATTGCTTTTTGCTTTATTTTGGGCTTTCAGGTCACACAATATTCTACAACTCCAAGCTGATTAAGTTCAGCATTTGGAACAGAGAAAAAAACAAGTTAAAGACAGATTACACTTCAGTGTTCAGGCTTTAGTTGCAGTGGGCCCAGTGACCAGGGCCAACAGTAATCTCAGGGCAGTTAAATTACTATCTAGTAATTTGCAGATTCTCAGTACTTGAGACAAATGGTCTTACCAGTGACTCATCAATCTCATCATCCGAACCATCATCATCACTATCTTCATCTTCTTCACGTATTCTTCCATACCCTTAAAATTACAGAAACACTTATGTCAAAATAGATCCTCAGTTTCAGACAAACACTGGGATTGATACAAGGTCAACCACAGACCGATAAACATAACAGGACAGATTTTACTAATGCAAAACAAATGAACACCCATCAAGCAAGGTTATGTAAGGGAGCTCCAAAGTGCTATGCAACATTGGGGCACAAATTCATTGCTAACGAAACACTCCAGTAATGAGTGTATCCTATAATGAATTTTTTGGCAATATGGGAAAATTTAGAACAATTGGTCCAATCATTAGATTTAGAGTTGGGTAGAATTACTTTATCTGCAATAGTCTAACCTTGACAAGACAGCATGGTTCTCTGTTCTACAGATTAACGTCTGCAATTTCTTCACACTGACTACTACCAATCTTAGGCAAACCACATTAGTAAAGGAATAAAGTGGAGGGTTGAGCACTCAGCCAAGGAGGTGTTTTTTCTTCTGACCAGTCACATTTGGAGTCCATTCAACCATAGCCTAATACAGATTTCTACAGTAAATTCAGATTTTCTGCAGAGTAAATGTTCAACCAGAAGAGATTACAAAAAACACAAAATTAACTTCAATTAAATATTAAATGGGCAACTCAAGAGTTTAAACTCTGAATACTTTTGAGGCAACTTGGCTAATAGACCCAGCTTGTACATCAATTAAAAATTTCTTCAAACTTCTCACTGTTTCTATTCCTTAATTTTAGTATCTTCCAGCCATTCAAAAATGGATATTAAAACTACATATGCATTTTAAAAAGTTCAAAGGAAATTTGGTTAGCAATAGTTAACTGTGGTACTCGCATACAATAAGAAAACTATTGAAAGAAAGCGTGTGCGTTCTCTATTGCACCAGGTGCAGCTGTTCAGATGCAAAACTGCAATTGAACATTTTGGTCTCTCCATTTATATGAAACAATTACCAAAAACATCACCTGCCTGAAATAAATACCCGCTTCCCACCCGCTACAATAGACAAGGACTATTTTTTCTGTGCAGTAGAACACAACACAAGTAGTAAGGAAATAAACTTTTACTGCATAACACAGAAATAAAGCAGCCGCCACCTCTGACTACAAGATATCTCTCAATAGCCTGCACTAAAGCCAGGGGATCGATCTTCACAGGACCACCCTTCCACTGTTTGACATTGGTGCTGTCGGGATGTCTCTGCAGCTGACATTTTAACTGGTGTGTGTTGAAGAATTTCAGGGCCTGTGATCCTCTGTTGGGGGAAAAAAAAGTACATTGTAATTGCAAACAATTGAAGTGAACTCAGTAGATGAGCACAGGACTTCAGATATAGGCCCATAAGAATACAGCTGCAACAAGATTGCTTTAGGTGATGTTTCTCGAACTGAAATTACAAACCATGTGTCTCAGAAGATACTGTATTAGAACATAAGAATAATTGCATTTGATATAGCACCTTATCACATTGGTGAGATGTCTCAAACAGCTTCACAGAATATACTGTAAAGTGAATTATATTTTTGTGGGCAAAACACAGCAATTGCGCACAGTAGTGTCCCACAAACAGTCATGGATTGAGTGATCAAATTATAACTTTTTTTTGAAGGATTATTAGAAATGGCATTTTTAAAAAAGATAGAATGAAAAAGGATAAAATTACTTTTAAAATAGTTTCCTCCCAAAACCATGGTAACGTTCTGCTTAGCAGTTAGGTTTTAACAACTTAGGAAGGGAGACAGTTTGCTGATTAACAGGGTTCTATCAACAAGCTGCTCTACTGGCTGGTTGGACACCTTCCAACCAGCATCCTGTGGCAAACAGAGGTTTTCAACCCTGATGCTCTTAACAGCAATTTTACCAGTTAGAATGCTCAAGGCAACAAATCTTACCTCTGAGGTAGGAACCTTTACTTAACATTTCTGTATTTCGAGAACACATTTTATAGTGAAACTCAATCTGACAGATGTGCGGAAATAATTTTTTTCCAGTAATGTTCATGCAAAACAATACCTGCTGCCGGTTCCATTCCCACTAGGAAAGTCGTGCACCTTCACTGGAAACTGTTCCATTTGGCTCAGACAGTTGTTCATTTTGTGCACAAGTGCCAACAGAGGTCCGTTCCCTTGCGGTTCCAGTCGCCCAAGAGGTTCTTCTCCTGGAGGCTTTAATGTAGATTTTAAAAGTTGAAAAAAAAGCCTTACGTGATTCTTAAAAACATTTTAAAAGATATATACAATATATAAAATCTTCTTCTCCATCTCCTAAAAAACTTTCCTATCTAGCATCCTTCAACTGCCAAACCAATGCCTGGATCAGTTATGCAGCACCATATGGAAAGTGTGTTGTTGGGCGCAGGGGACTGATAAGGTGCTATACCTCCCATCTTACATATTCAACTCCTCGCACCCCCAGCAACCACTGACATGGATGGTAGTCTGAAAGGTAGAGTTCAGGCATTTAGAACTTGGTAGATAGTAGCACATTCCTTGGGTATTCAGTGAATTCTGCAGCGTTGCACATTAAAGAGCATGCAAAACAGGTTTGTGATGGGATGATTAAATAGAAACCAGCATAAGATCTCGACTGGCCAAATAAATACATAAAAGTTGATGTTTCAAATTTAAATGGTGCAGATTCAAAACCAAATTATGTGTGTTGATTTTAAATAACTTTCAACATGAAAAAAAACACAAGAAGCTTATTTTTTATATAGATCTCATAATATAAATTAATAAAATTAGTTTAAGAAATACATCAAGATGCATACAGGTTTAAAAAATATGAAATAGTGATAAAAGGATATGGAAAACGAGCAGGAAATTGACAGAGATGCAGTGAATGAGCTGGCACATCTCAGTCTCAATGGCCTCCTCCTCTGTTGAAATTTTATACCTTTAGCAAATACCAATATAATTTACATTTATATAAAGCTGTATATCTCAGGAGCAGCTCCCAAAGCATTGGTCACTGCTGGCTGGGCACCTGAGATGGAATGTCGAAAATGGTGAGGTGGGGAAAGATGAACGGAAGTGTTGTCAAATGTCTTAAGTTGAACCTTGCACAAGGTAAAAGAGAAAGCGAGTCAGAGGGATTCCAGGATGGAGTTCCAGAGACCAGGGGCAGAATGGCAGGCAATGTTGAGTGGGCAGGGCTGTGTTTCATGAGCAACAACTGGGTGAAATAGGAGGAAGAACCCCAAACAGGAAGAGTTCACTTCTGAAATATAGGGAGCATGAGAAACAAAAATTGCTTACAGGATAAATAAAGTACAATCCTCCTGCTTTGTCACTATGCCTTGAATGCAGGTACAACAGGCATGCTCTGACCTACAGATGGCATCAGTGACTGTTCCACAGCCACTTTCGATCAACAGAATGATTCTGGAGAAGTCACTCTCCAGCCATGACCGAGTTTCCATTTTAATTGCTGACTAAATATTTGCCTCGATTCAGTGCTTTCGTGTCAGAGAAATCATTAGGAACCTCGACTACGAAACTAGGACTCGGAGAAGAGCACAGATGTTTCTAGGACTGGGGCTCTTCAATAATATGAGACAGTTTTACATTTGCAAAAATATGTCTAGACTGGGGGGGAGGGGGAGGAAAATGGTCAAAAACACATTGCAGCTTTTTAAATGCCAGGTATGAATAGATAAGATAATTTGACCTTAGACTGAACACAATTGAAGATATTGGTTTAAAAAAATGAGAATGTTCTCCACCATTCGCTTCTATTTCTCTCCCCCCTTCACAAACGTACAACAGCAGATGTATGACATACACTTCTGTAAAAAGCAGCTGACGCTAACTTGGGTGAATATCAGATTTCAGCGCTGCTGGAAGACTTAAGAGAGGCAAGGACAGACACAGTAATTGGATGGAGTTGAATTCATGAGGACATTAATCCATAGTTTGTGAAAGGACTTGCTTGGCTGAAGCTTCACACTTTAAGCTTCAGATAGTGCCAGAGCTTTGTCATAGGTCAAATTTTGGGTGTGAATGTGTGTGAATTTCCCAGTTTTAGGGATGTTCCCAAAAAATTGGCCTCTGGTCTCTTTTCTGGATAAGATAACTGTGCTGACCCCAAGAACCAATAATCAACCCATAAAATAAAACAGGTGGGAAGATAAGCCACCTAGTGTACGAGACACAAAGCACAGTGAGTGGGCTGTGCTCAGAAACACCTTCACTAAGCAGCTTCCAAACAGCTTTAACTTTTCTTTCTTCCATGCACGCACACCCATGACCATGTTTCTGCTACAACCCCAAAATATTCAGCAATACCATGACTGATTCTTTTTCTATCACTACTTCTGTGAAGAAGATTTTGCAAAATTTCACAGATTTATCTAACATTTCATAAAAGAATGTTTCAACATAAATTGATCGCACAACATAGGAATGAAATTTTTTTTTGGACACAGGTATTTTTTTTTTGGACAGCTTAGCAGTTGGCCTAAGCTTAACACACAAGTTACTCACCGGACAACCGAAGAACACGTGAAGAAACCGTCTCAATCTGATACGCCGGCTCACAAGGTCTTTGTCGCTTTTTGAAGTCAAATACAGCAGCAACTGTTTCACAAAGCCACTGTGCTGGATTTCGAAGGACGACACGTCGGACTCTGAGACTATTGTGCGGATTTCTAAAAGGCACTCAATCCCACCATCCGCCTGAAAACAAAAGGATTAATTGCTTTAGACACTTCAGTAACCCTTAGTGAGAACACATGAATACTTTCACATTTATGGCCTAAGGTTAAACAGTACATTTCTTATATATGCATTCTCCATTCAACATAGTAATTACTTTATAGATCTTACTGTATACTACTTAACTGCTGCGCAGTCATCAAAGAATATTAAGACTTAATTTGTAGTTAACGAAGGGTCAAAGCATTTCACCAGAATTTGTGGTTAACGAAGGGTCAAAGCATTTCACCAGAACAGAAAAACCTATATATGCATACAGTAACAACCTACGGTCCTATTTATGTTGGTTTAGTGATGGGAAGTAATGGGATGTGTATTGTAAATCACCCACTTTGAAATTTCAGGCTAGTGGGTAATCCAAGGCATTCCCCAAACAAGTGGAAAATGTAAGGTTACTGGTCACACAGTCAAGGAATGCAGTACAACATGAGAAATAAAAGCAAATGTTTCTACGAGCACCAAAATACCCCACAAGTATCCTGTGATCTAACCACACATCCATACTGGTTAAAAATGTTCGATTCACACCTGCAAGCTGAGCTGTTCAGTGGCAGTACAAAGTCTCTGTAGTACATTCAGTGCAGGATTGCTCGTGTCCACGTTCTCCGAGGTGAAGTAACGGTCCACAAATTTATGTGCCTGTTCCTTTATCCACACCTTTATCTTCTCTCTAAAGACAGAAACTCACTTAACATTCAAACATAACATGAAGGATGTACACAACTTTCCCAGATTCTTCTTGCAATTAGACATTTGAGCAAATGTTAACAACTTATTATCACATATCAATGAATCCTTGTATGTTTAATGTCCACGTAGTAATCGCAAGCAGAATTATGTGAGGGACAGGCACCTGGCACACAACACAGGGTGCAATTCCATGGAAAGCTCAGTTGGGCAATTTTCATTCATTGTTATATGCAAAATCATAACTTTAATTCTTAAAATCCGAGGCTACAGAATGGCGCACAAGTAACAACGTTTCATTCAGAAAGATAGGAGGATAATGAGCAAATACCTATTGTTGGACATAGTGTCCTTTGGGGTAACCCGAGCAATGCCACTAACCCCGGCCGTACGCGCTGGTTCTGCATTGTTGCTGTTGGTTTGTGTGCTTAATCTTCCCCAGGTTTTAGGATTTAAGCTCGCCAGGAAGGAAGATTTGGGAGACTGGGTGGCTGTAGGGCTCTTTGCTAAAAAAATAAAAGGTTAACGTTGGTATCAAGGCAGTATTAGTCAAACATAGTTCTATAGAGGTCTAATGTGTCCCATAGTTTGTTCCAGTGTAACCAGACTTGGCGTTTCACCCACAAAATACAGTCAATCCACTGTGAAGCATTTGTGAGACGTCTCAAAGACTTGATAAGACGCTATATTAAACAAAATCTGATAGAAGCATTTTAATGACCTTGACGAGAGCATGCAACAGAATTTCATTACAACCAATTTTGGCAAAGAGAAACTTAAAGGAATGACGTACACAATGCTAAGTCAGCCAAACAAAGGTGGAGATTTATTTGATGGTGCACCAACAAAGTGTTACCATTATTAGAGGTTCCTTAACCTCAGTCTGGATGCCTCAGAGAGAAAGGTGGGCAGTGAAGGGAAGAACTTTTACACAGAACTCTCTCCAGATCACGAACAAGACATCAGTTATTCATTAATGCCTCAAACCAATCAGATTTTGATTTCAATTTCTAAAAGGACATTCCAGTTATAATCCTTGCATCTGATAATAGTATCTTTCACTTTGGGAGGGATGACTCAAAGCACTTCACAGAATTTACTACAATGTGTGACATTGATGTGTACAGCAATGCCCCCCCCCAAACAGCCATGAAATGACTAATTTTATCAGGGGGATTTCTTTGCAAGGACGGCGGCAGAAACTCACTTTTCTTTGAGTGGTGGCATAGGATCTTTACTGTCCACCTAAACAGGCAGACCGGGCCTCTATTCAATCTCTCATCTGAAGGACAGCATTTCCAGTGCACTTCCAGCCTAGACTACACAAGTTCAAAGTCCTGATGTGGGGCTCCTCACTCAGAAGCAAGAGTGCTACCAAGAGCCAGGCTAACACTTGGTTTGTATGTATTTTGGGGAAAATGAGGCTTTTCCCCCCCAGTACTGCTTTCATGCCATGAACGTTTTGAAAGTTCCATGGTGTGGGAATACTCAAATTCTGCTAATAGTGCTTCCATTAGCTGAAAACCATCAGGACAATACAAAAGGGTTAGAGGTTACCTTGATTGTCTACTTTGTCATCATCTCTTGGAGGTGAATATTTTGTCCTCCTGGTTACACGTTTTGGCAATCTTTTCCTCTTTAAGACATCACTTAATCGTCTGAAATCAATAAAAAAAATTATTCAAGTTGTATTGGAAAGTACAGTACCACAATAAGCAGTTCAATTCACATAACTTGTATTGCTGTTGCACTACTCTCCGTACAGTGGAAACGTGCATGAAAGATCAGATTGTTACAGCTCAAGTGAATAGTCAAATCCAAACCTACCCTTGTGGACTTAAGTCCAAAGAGTCGTCCATACTTTGGAAGCTGGGGGAACCCAGATCTGCAACTGTATTGCTTGCAGCAGTGGGTGTGGTAATTGTGGCTGTAGTGCTCAGACCCCCTGCCCCACTACTGCCCGCCTTTGGAGGGCTGGTAAGGAGAGTCTCGGACTCTGCTAAGTTTTTCACTTGATGCATCACACCTTTTGGGGGAGAAAAAAAATTGTAATTATTGCTTTATACTACAACGAAGACAACCAAGTGAAGTTATATTTAAAACATGACATTAACAATAATCTTAAAATTTAATAACTCTAACTTCATTTAACATCAAAATGAATTTCATAAGACAATAAACACTGCCAATCCGAGATTTAATTTCACATCTTCCTTTCTACATGTATGCCACAGGTGGATTGCACCTCTTCTAAGCAGTTGGTTAAGGATTTTTACCTTCTCTTCTGAAGTAAACACTGAATATGTCTGGTAACTTCTGCATTAAAATCTCTGCCATCTGTAGAGCTCCGACAACTATCTTGAAATCTTGACTTGATAACATTGAAGCAATGTGGCTGCAGGAAACAGAAAATGTCAGTTAGAAAAGTTTCAAATGTGGCTGCCATCAGACTGTAACAGTTACTTTGGAATAATCAGTGCTTGATGTAACGTCTGTAACATTGAAATGTCTCAAAAGCATTTCACAGATAATTGCTGTAAATTAATAGTGACTTTCTCAGTGAACTCGGAAGCCAGATTACCTCAATGCATGCTCAGGTTCTGGAACAGAAATTTCCATCAAGAAACAAGTTACTGTAAGCACTTAAAATCTACACCCCAAACAGAAACACAATAAGAATCAACAATATATTTCTATAGCATCAACATACTCCCTGCAGCTTCCCCTCCTCAGCACACTGCACCATCTGCAAACTGAAGAAATTCTCTTGCACATCAGCTTCATGGAGCTGAGAGTGGGAGTCATACTCAGACCCTCTGGATACGACCCTGTTCTCTAGTCTGGTCATGTATTTTGTTGGCCCGCTAACCTCCGGAACTGCTTATGCATTGACGAGAAAGGCATTTTTCCCCCCCGTGAAATGGAATACCATGATATTGCATCACAAACAAAGATTCCCAATTACAAACGCTCAGTTTTTCTGTAAATCAACATTCAAATGGCTGTTCCTTTATTTTCCAGAATCTCATCTGGTCTGAGAGAGGGTAAAGTAAGGAAGGTAATATACAGTCAATTCACTTTACAGTATATTCTGTAAAGCGCTTTGAGACATCTCAACGACATAAGGCGCATATCAAATGCAAGGATTATTATATCATTGGTTTACATTATTATATACAAAAACTTTGGACTAATTTAAGAAACAGGCTAATAATACTACAATAGGAAGACAGTACAGTGGATAATGTGGAAGGAGATTAATTAAATGGGCTGAAGGACCTTCTTCATCCAAATTTCTTGTGAGTCACTCACATGGAGTGCACTATTGTAGCGGAACTACCTCCAACATCACCTCCATATCACACACGGTCCTGACACGGTCACAGCTGGGGGAATAAGGGACCTGTAAAATAATTTTTTACCGTAGCAGTTGAGGTGGGTCAGAAAGAGGCGAGATGATGGTCGATTCATTGTGGTACATAAAATTACTGAGATTGGATTCTGAACTGCAAGTTGATTGCGGTATCCATTCAGCAAAGTATACCAGGAGGCATATGTGAATAGATTAAAGATCTTTCTGAAGCACAAATACAGCTAAATTTATGCATTCCACAAGCTTGTTTTATAGAAGCTATTAATTATTTCAAACCAGCATGAAAATTTATTATATAGTTCTGCTGAAGCCTCATTTCTGTGGAAACAGGTTCAATTTAGTTGAAAAATGATTTATGTCACTTTATGTCACTCTTATGTCTGGAATTGTGATTTAAATCTACAGTGTGTACTGTTGTCAATCTGGGCAGCAGTGATCTGGAAGGGCCAATAATTCAAACCCTAGCCAACCTAGTACTGGCTAAAATCTTATCAGATTCCAAGCTCTCGTTATTTTTGCTGATCACTAAATGCATGACGTACTTTCCCAGTCGTTTGCCTTTGTGACAATTTATTGTTTTTGCGATATGTGGTTGACTTAAGATTTATTAGTTGACAAATTAAGCTTAACAATCCATAAGCTGCATTTTCACACACATCAAGCTTGGGAGAATAACCTGAGTTACTAATTATAATTATTAATAAATCACTTAATAACTTACCACCTGCAAAACTATATTACATGCACGCTATCTGTAGGGATCACATCATTTTTGAAATAGTGTTGCCTCACAACTTCACTTTCCCCACCCACGCTGCAGGGAGCTAATTTGTTGTCAGGAGCAGTCACCAATTCCATTAGGGTTCATCAAGATCAACAATGGGTACCAACTGGGATAGATCAATGATGGCAAAATACTAGCTTTCCGTCCCTCAGTGCAACATGCATAATTTAAAACTTCACCAGAACAGTTTCAAACATCTCTAATCAATAATTTACGTCAGATACCCACCTGGAAACAGCATGATTTTTCAACACATCCTTTAGAAGTTCAGCATCAGCAAAATAAATTATTCTAAGAATTGCTCTAAGGCACTTGTGTCTGACAGCAGGTCCAGCCGAGGAACTGTACACTTCGTACAACACACCAAACAATGTCTTTATAAAGCATTTCGCCAGCTCAGGGTCCTCCCTCATCAGTTGAGCACGTGCATCGTCTTTCCTGACTTCAGAATGACCACCTGGGGTGGCGGGGGGGGGAAGGGGGAGAGGAAGAAAGGGAGGGAAAAAAAAGCATAGCAGAGTTTTCAGATTGCACATCCATCCAGAAAAAAAAGCAATCAGATCTTATTGTACACCTGATAATAATCTCTCCAAAAACAATAATAAATTGGTCATTTTCAATCTACGACTGTTTGTGGGACATTGCTGTGCGCAATTGGCTGCCGCGTTCGCCCACAAATATACAGTCAATTCACTTTAGTGTGTTCTGTGAAGCGCTTTGGGACGTCCTCCCGACGTGAAACGCGCTATATCAAATGCAAGGATTATTATTATTTAGTTCAAGGTTGACTTTTCAAAGTTATTTTTCTCCCAAGTAAGAAGTAATCGATATCCCAACCTCTGCATTGAGCCACTGGGTCATTCATCAAAGCAGCTTAGCTAATTTTTTTTATATTCAGTGAAATCCACTTTGCTCAATTCTACCTCCCAGTGAGAGTGACCACATTCTATAGGAAGCCATGAATATAATCCACAGGGACGCTATGCAAGACTATATCACATCTAAGCCAGAATTTGGGTCACAATTAGCTGTAAGAGGTCCCAGACTATGCAAGGGAGGAAAATTGGAATCAGTATTCCTTTTTAATTCTATCCAGTCATCCCAAGGAAGTGTACATGTGTGGATATCAGGCAATACCACACTGAGTGTGCTGTGTTGCCCTTCCATGATCACAAAACCTTCGGATACACTAATTATCCAGCTACTAAGAACTCCCAACTTCCGTGCAATGTAGCCTAGCTTGGCCATGCATTTGCGGAGAGGAAAAGGATTGATTCTATACCCAAGTCCCCAAAGTGTTTGCTTTATCTTAATTTGAAGACTGCATTATTCAGTGGATACAAGAACACCAGGAAACCATCTCAAAAGCTTTCAGACTTTAAATCAAGTGGAGTAAAACTAGAGGTGGGACATTTGTATCTGCTGCTTTGATCACAAGGCAGGTTTTTAGCTGAGACCTAAATGCACGCATTGCAACCCTGTGTCCACCAAAGTATGAAATTGAAATATTGGTGGGTACATGTTAACCCGAGTGGGTACATGCTCACCCTGGGTTACTGTTTGTTGTGTAAAGAGGTTCTCAATGCAGAAGTATGTTAGCCATTAGTAACCCATTTTCTCGCTAACCTACGCAAAACTTATTACAGGGGAACATAGGAATAAACAGAACCAGCATAGACCATCTGACTATTCCCAAATCTGTTCTTATTAACATTGCACACCAATAGTAGGAAGCAGGAGAATTAACTGAACAGAGTTAATTGTAAATGTAACACCCGAAGCACTGCAAAACTAGCAATGCCACAAAAGCTGAAGATGCTTACACTGTTTATTCCATGTCCAAACACTGTATATTCACACCAAAATATCTTGCCAGATAGCCAGTGAAATCAAAATAAAGCAACCTCATATTTCCGAAGAGCCAATATAACTTCTGAACGTTCTAGTTATCTCCTAACTGGGTCAATGGCAGGTCAGCACTTCTCAAACAAACCAAAGGTGACGCAGATGATTCCTCCCACCGGTCTCACTCACCAGTAGTAGAGTTGGCCAATGGATTTGGTTTTCTCTGAATAGCACGTGCTGTCCCAGTGTCCTCATTGATCTGCTGCATAGAGTTAAAATCAATAGTGTAAACTCGCCCCAATGTTGACAAGCTTATCTCATCCTCACCCACTTGATGGGCTGCCTGTGAAAAGAACGCCATAGCGTATGAAAATGATCACTTCTGCGGAACCAAGACTACACCTATAATAGGTGAACCTGGGAGCCAAAAGGATAGGATATTTGGAGCATAAGCATGCCAGATTCAATGTGAGAGGTAACTACAAATAGGAGATAAACCAGAATATTAAAACCTGGACTTGTGTGGGAAACGTATATCAGGAACTTTCAGTAGCTGAAAACACTGTTGTGGTTAATTTAGTCAATCTCAAAGTTCCAATGAGAGAATATTATACTCTTCAATGACATTCATCACTCCTAGGCAGCCTTCTAGATTTAAGCACCATTCTGTGCATTTGTATTCAGTACTATTATGAAGTCTTACTATTCGATAATATAAATGTATAACTGGTTGCTACTAAGAATTGGTTCCAAAAACAGAGGACACTTCATTTCTTATAGAAATGTATTGGTTTCCTCTCCTGCACCCATTCTCCTTCAGAATTTCTAGTCTCGTATCGCATTCCCAAACGTAAGAGGCAGATACCATAAGGCTTTCTCCAAGCCTTGTGCCAACGCTGCAGTAAATCCAGGTGCAAAGACATGCAAGAGCATCCAGGGCAACGTAGTCTGATCTTCCCTACAATTTGGGTTTCAGCTAGGAGTGGGCAGCAGAGATATTCAGGTTTAGATCATTGATCTATGGAAGGATACCATGTTAATCTAACTACTGGGAGAAGCTACACTAAGATTTAACCTAAGAAAACACTCCCAAAACCTATTCTACCCCAAAAATATGAGAAGTGCTTTCGTACACAAAATAGAAGAACTGTGGAATGCTACTATAAACATCAATAGTATCGAGGATTTCCACCACAAATCCAGGTTGTTTAATCTCCAGGTTTATATCTCACTCTTTGTTCGGGATAACATTTACTGTTCCCTTGTCCTCTGGTACAGCTTCAGTGTTTTGGAAGTTTTGAGAAGTATTGGAACAGAGCCTCTAATATTTCTCCAAAGTTGCTGTTGGGACAGATTCATTTAGAAATGTTCAATTTTGGAGTTTCTTCTCGATGCTCTGAGTAATAGTGTTAAAGATCCCCGAGCCAAATGAGCAGTCATTCCCAGCACAGGCAGCCTGGGTCTTGATGAGCTCAAAATTCACACATTGAACAGATGCTAACTGCGAGCCAGTAATACACACACGCACATCACAAACACCGCACACACCATGCCACATCCCAGTAAAATAATGTAAAACAAATCTCAAATTACTTTAAACCATGGGTTTCAGTCAGGGTAGCTACTTCTCCTTTGGAACATGAGTTTTCAGCAAGGAGTGAAAAAAAACTGAATGTATTCAGTGCCATAAATTTCATTGGCATTTTGTAGAACCAGCTTTAGCTTTTTCAAAGATGTAGTGCATCTCCAGATTCTGAAGGTAAATTCCAAATGGTTTGAGAATCACCCTTGCAGTTTAGATCATCTAGAGCCCCACCATCGGAGGCTGCGCTTTCAGCCACTACACCCCAAAAGTCTGGAATACTCTCCCTCAATCCCTCCGCCTTGACCCCTCTCTCCCTTTTTCAAGCCCCGCCTGAAAAATTTCCTCTTCGACTGTGCTTACGGCCACCCCCCCACCCCGGCTCGGAGTCAGGTTTCACCACTGCTAAGCGCTCTGTTAAGCGTTCCTGTGTGGAGAGTACTGAATAAGTGCAAGCTGTTGATGATGATGATGTGTTTATGTCTTGCTACACCAATCAGCCTATTTGTGATCTCATATATAAAATTTAATGCAATAACTAGTTACAGCTGGCCTGTTAGCACATGCAAGGCTCATTGAACAACAAAACCTCAGGTTACATTGTCTGCATAATTGGGTGCTCCTACATCTCCTGAAGCTCACAACACGACTCCACATCTGCCAGTATGTACTCACTCTGCATACTGTATCACATGCTGTGGTCCTGAGTTGTGGTGGAAGAAAAGCTCACACTGCCAGCAATTAACTCAGCTTCCAGAGCATCAACTACTGACAAAAGCATGTTATGAATGCTAGTAAGGGAATGCGTAATTGAACAACTCATCCAATAAATTTTCAGCAGTTCAGATCAGTCACCTGAATAGCAATCAAGTCTTTAGTCACTGATCAGAAATTATGCTTTTAAAGTCTCATTGTTTTCAGTACTGGGTCGTTACATTTGTTGCGGTCCTCATTGATAATTTCTGCTGGTTTAACAGCAATTCAAATCAAATAAGTTTTCTATGAGTATATGTTAGTTCTTTCCAGTCAGCTACATGTGTTAAAATGATCATTGATGTTAGCACAGTGGGGTATCATAAGGAATGTCACACAACCACTGGTTTACATTAAAATAGCCTGCAACAATAGGAAAATCACTCACACCGCACATCTCACTCTCTAAAAAATGGATCCTTCTAGTTGAAGCAGAACAAGGGTAATAAAAGTAGTACACTGCCACTGAAATTGATCCATTTCCCTTCAAATAAGCAGTTCAAATTGTAAAGTACTGTACCTCAATTATCCGACTATCAATTCGGTTATATGGATGCCACAAGCCCCGGTCATCACGCCATTGCCATATTGCACCATCTGTATTTTGAGCACTTCCCTTCTTTAGCATAGTATCAACAGCAAAAATTCCTTCTTTGGGTAGACATGGCATCAGCTCACTGAAATAGGAATCCAGATCAGATTTCATAGTTGTGTGAAAATTGTTTCATAGTAAACCTGATATTTTAGTTGGTGGTGCTAATGCACAAAGTATTATTTGTTCTATTGTATACACAGTATGTATTCTTTGTATTTGCATGTACAGGTATTACTGTAAAAATGGGGTGCCAGGTGTTAGCCTGGTTCAATTGGTAGCTCTCTCCTCCAAGTCAGAAGGCTGTGAGTTCATGCTCCCCACTGGAACTTTGAGCTCATAGTCTATGTCCTGGCCAGATAAAATTGTTTATTTCAATGCCTTGTGATGTCTTCCAAATAAGCTATGTAAATATAATTTGGATTGCAGATTCATTTCATGGCTATTTTGTGGGACATTTCTGTGCGTAAACCAGCTGCTGCAAAATAGTCTTTATGGTGTATCCCATTAAGCACTTTGAGTCATTCTCCTGAGATGAAAGGTGCTATACAAATGCATTAATATTCTCTGCATTTGTACGTCTTGTACAACAGAATAATACCCATAGAGAATTGGATGAAATGCAAATATTTAACCAAATCACTCCACAGAAGATTACATGATGCAAGAAAATCTGCCTTTATGCAACATTTCAAATAGAAAAAAAACTTGTATATTATCAACTCGAAACAAAAAGCGAAGTAAGATTTGTTAACAATCTGCCTTGCACACCACATAGGGATCAAACATAGAAAAGTGTTCAGTTCTTGAGTGAATGACTTAAATGACAATCAAGTTAGCGGTTTTGCAGTAAACAGGCCGAGCTCATCGTGAATACAACCAAATAATTTATCTAGTTTCTAATCTATAGCTGTGAACTCAGATATCAATTTAAAAATACAGAGATGTACGCCGTGGTCTGTCGAACTGGAATATATTGAAAATTCACTCAATTTCCTAAAGCAATGAAGACCTGGATTAGGCTTTTCACAATATTCAGATCAAAACAGTTACTTTTCTTTTTAAAAATTGCACATATTCTAACGTTTTTTCCCCCCACCACCCAACACAGTGACTCACCAAATAAGGGAAGTAAGCTCATAAAGCTCTTGTGGACTTCGTGGTACAAGATCAATTTGTTCTTGGCAGCTGCCACTTGAAGCGCCACAAAGTAAAAAGCGAAGTGTTTCTGCAATGTCTACACAAGAAACACAAACAATTAATGTTCCACAGTTAGACTTCATATAGTTCAAAGAATAAACTAGTGACAATTACTGAACACCTGCAAAAACTAGCTGATTTTGCCTGTGTTCAGTACTGTTTTATGCTGCATAGATTCAAACATTTAAAAACCAAGTGTTTTATTCAGATAGTTTTTGAAGGGTGTTAGAGTAGAAAAGATAAATGTCAGAAAGGATATTTTGAATGGTGGCATTAAAACAAAATAGTAAGACTAAGGCAATTGGTTGGGAAGACTGAGCCAATCAATGGGAAAAATGCAAGTGTGCAGATAAAATCCTCCAGATAAAATTGGACAATCACTTCATGCCTGTTTATGGGACATTGCTGTGTGGAAATCGGCTGGCCCGTTTGCCTATAAGAGAGTCACGACATCTTACAGTAAATCCTGTGAAATGTTTTGAGATGTCTCAATGACATAAGATATTACATCATACACAGTACAAGGTTTACTCACTCACAAACCTCTGCAAACTGTATTCTTATTGCCAGCCACCAGATGGTGCATAATTGGAGTCGCGATGGACGACAAATAAGGCACGTTTGTCCAGGAAGGCAGTGTTAGCAATTTTAATGGGAATGGAATAAGATTATGTTGGTGTTGGGTGGGGGGGGGTTGAAATGTTATTCAGAAGCTGAAGAAAACAAAACGTTTTCCCGTTTGCACAATTCTGTATTGTCAATGACAAGGAAGCAATTCACTTTTATTCATCAAACCCTTTCCTCCCCCCCCCACCCACTTCCCAAAATCATCATCCTGAGGATTGTAGGTGGGAAAATCATTCACAATTCCACTCTATTACGCTGAATAAAAACAATGCCACCTTCAAATAAGTTTTAATATATTTTAATCTCTGCAGTATAAGTTGTCCTTAATCTAATTAAAATGTAAAGTAATAATGCAATGGTAAATATCCCTTAGATCATGCCAACTTTTAGAGAAGAACTAGTATTTTAAGCACCACATCTGCATTACGCATGTGCATTACACAAACACAAATGTCAAAAAGCTGGCACAAACATCACGTGGTCAATTTAAACAATCTCTGAAGACAATACAGTTAAGTCACACAACTCTTATCAAATCATAGTCACCCAAGTCGTACACTCACCCAAATCCCATTCAGGGTCCTATCAAGACTACTTAAGATTTCTTTACACTACTCATATTAATCACCTCGAAACTCCGCTCCCCTACCCTCCAGTACTCCAGCGCTTCCTGGAGGCCTTAAATCGCGTGAAATGCTGTCCTTACCCATCGACACACCTGCACGTACCAGCCAGTTGCATTGAATCGCAGGAAACGTAGTTTTTATCTGCAGATAAACTTTATTTCCCGTGATTTAATGCGATTCCAACGTTTGCTGGTAAGTGCGTATGTGTTGGCGTGTCAAGGTGCATTGAATCAAAGTGCAGTATAGTCTTAACCCGCCACTGAATTCTTATTTACCAGCTGCAATGATGAATTACCGTAAGTGTATATTAAATTACACATGCACAGTGTAGATTGATTAATCGGATTTTCTAGTTTGCCTGCAAATCAGACTTTGTGCAAGTCATATTAAATGTTATGGTCCTGATTGAATCTGCACATTTACTATATATAGAGGGTAGGCCACTTGCCCCAGCGCCACTCACTTTGCTTCATCAGCTGCACAGCCAGAGTAGGACAGTTGGAGCACATCAGTGAGAACATGCGGACCACCATGATGAACATGCCGGAGCTGAGGATAGGAGGAGTGACCACCAGAAGCTGCTGAATGTTCGTCAGTAAATCCCGGGATGCCACCTGCTGTAACAAGTTCTAGGAATTTAAAAAAATACACTCACTGCACTGAAATGGAAATACATTAAACAAAGATGAGCTGTACTTCAATTCTTGAAGCTTAAATTTTAAATTCTACACATTCAATGTTAATTATTTACTGGCTAGTACCTCCTCAGTTAACTATGCAAAACAGATTGTTTGTGTCCTGAAGGCTAATAGCATTGCATTTTCAACATAGTTTTATCACAGCACAGAAGCTGGGACTTTGCCAAAACTACAATTTATAAATATGAATTAATAGTTGCTAGATGACTTTCCGTTTGGGGCCTCAATACCAGCTTGAGATGCAGTTATCTGTCTGATGCACAATAAAATACTTGCAATACAACTAAAGCACAAATGACTGATTGAAAAGATACTAAGGATGTCAAAATTACCACTAATGCACACTAAATACTAAGTCCAGGAAACTGGTGAATGTATGCTTGCACAATAAGTTTTAATTTGAAGGTGGTTGAGATCAGAACATAGCATGGCTAGTATTAGACAAGCTAGCCTGAAAGTTCTTTTTCCATGCTGGATCAATCTATATAATTCTACACAAATGTTACAAAAGGAAGGTAGAGTTGGTATTTCAGAAGAAAGAGATGGAGTAAAATCTCTTCATTCCTAACACCTTGCAATCTATATGCTTCCAGGTAAAACATGGAAATCCAAACACAAAAGGTAATTTGTTCCAGTTTGTCATTAAATTGCAGAGAACATGACTCAAAAATACAGCTTTAGTTCCGGTGGTTAGCAACCACATGGTTCAACAGGACTGATGATTTTCAATCGTCAGAAGCTGTCCTCTATTCTCGTTCACAATGTACTGACTGATAAATTGGGGATTACACAAGCGTTGGCCAATATCACACACAAGAGATCCAGGCAAGAAGATTCCTGCAAAATCTTATTTGGGGAATAAAGGAGTGAAAGGAACTTCTCATCCACAGAATGGCTAAAAAGGGAAGAAATTTAGCAATGGAACATTCCTTTATTTGCTGAGCATTCCGCTGTTACCTGAACATTTAGCTCAAAGCACAAAGCAATGCACCCAACAGCTGAGTAAACTGGAATTTATGCAGAAAAGATGGTCCACACCATTAATTTCAAAGGTAAGCATCACCCAAAGGTTTACATTTAGAGGATCACAAAACCTCTCCACATGGTCCCGATTTGGCAAGAAACAGAAATATTTGTCCTGCATAATTAAATAGCCATATTTCACTAGAGAACAAAATATTCTGAGTATACTACAAACAAACCTCTGTCCATGAGAATCGTTCAAACCTGCCAAAGGCCAAGAAACATTTTGCATCTTAGTTACAGTGCTGTGAATTTTTTTCAAAAAATGTGCAGACGATTCATAGACCCAAAGTAAAATTTCCAATGAAATTTAGACAAAAGGGTTTTTGAAACAATGAACCGAGTGGCAAAAATAACCAGGATGAGAAATTGAAAATATGACATCAACAAAAAACAAACTACTTTGGAGTAAACTAACAATTTGCGGGAAGTGAAAATAAGTAGTTGTTTTCAATGCTGAAAGTGATCAATGCTTATGAAGTTACACAGTGGAAGCTCAATTTTACAAGCAGTCATCAGAACAACATTGGCAAAATGGGTGTCGTTTTCAACATTGACAGGCCTTACTTCTTCATGCTGGAAGTTGTCCACTAAACGAGCAAAACATAAGCAAGTACTTTCCACAGATTTCTTGTCCTGTTCAGAGAGAAACACGTTTATTTATTATCAATGGAACAGAAAAAAGCATTTCAGTTGAGTTCTAAACATAAAGGAACACACAAATCAATAGGAGTGATGGTATTCAATAATAATATTGCATTTGAGATAAGAGTTTTTATCACGTTGTTGAGACGTCTCAAAGCGCTTCACAGAATATACTGTAAAGTGAATTGACTGCATATTTTGTGGGTGAAACGCAGAAGCCAATTTGCACACTGCAATGTCCCACAAACAGTCGTGGATTAAGTGACTAAATTTATTTTTTTCTTTTTGGAGGGATTATTACCCACGGAAATTGATCACCCAATCAACTAACAACCGGGTTCCTTCTTACTGCTCAGTAAACAGAGGCGTGAGGAGTAAGGAAACTTGCGCGAGTAAGGAAAGCTTCGACCCACCTGGGAATCAAACCCGGGTCCTCTTGCTTGCGAGGCGAATGCTCTAGCCAGTATACTACAAGACTCCAATTCAACACAGCCTGTCACCCCTAATAAGATTCGTACTATTACCTGATGGGTCAGCCTTTGGGTTAAGAGGGGCAGTGAATCAGCAACAAAGTGAAATTCATCCGGGGTGATGCTCTGACAGCAGTTTGCTGCTATAGCCAGTGCGTTCCGCTGAGCATTGATGCTGAAGAATTCCAAATACAGCAAGCAGTCAGCCAATCCTCCCTTTAAATAAAAAAATTGGGATTAGATTTAGATTAATATATTCCAAACCAATTTCATTACACTTTAAAATATTTGAACTGCTAACAATACCAACATGGAGCTCTAATGGCAGGGGATTTAGGGACCCTGTGGATTGGGATACAACTAGAGTTTAATAACCAAGTAAAACCACAACAGCAAGATAGGCAGTCTTGGCTGGTTGAACTCCAGCCTTGGCTTTTGTGAGCATGTGCTGTATGATCTCTGGAATTAGGTGAGCATAATGCATCCTCCAAGGAGAGTTTGCATTGCATTCCAAAACAGGGGAATTTCTGATATGTAGGTTAGATGCATGGAACTCAATCTGGTTTGGATACTCAAGCGTGGTGATGAGTTTTCACATATGAAACACACCCAGCTGAGCAAAAACATAGCAGTGGTGGAGCAAATATTAACCTTTCTCCTCCAGGCTGCAGGGTTCGAGAATAGTTGCATATATAAATATGACAACACCATCAGATTTGAATGCCCTCTCTAATATCGGTATCTAATATCGGTATCATGCATTAATAACACTATTCCCACACCAGAATTATACATGATAAAGAAAAAAATTGTGCTTTTTTGAAGAACAATAATTGACATTTAGGGCAACAATACTTACAGCTTGCAAAATAGCTTTACTGTGTCTACGTGATAACATCTCCAGAGCAGTCAAGGCCTGTTCAGCCACATCTATGCACTGAATGACTTGCAGCTGGAAAGAAAAAATGTTTATACACTATGCAAGATGCAAAAAGACTTGTATTCAGTACGTCTCTTAACAACAAGATGCAGCAATGGATGATGCAGCAATACACTCTCCCAGAAATGAGAGTACGAGTTCCACTTTGGCCCTGTATAAAGAATTTTCTCCTATGTATTTTACCTACTAAATGGGGTATACTTTAAAATAATAAAGCAGGCCACTTTTAAGTTTTGAATCAATACTCTTGAAGAGCTTCAGCAAGATTATCATACACAACTGTAAACATTTATAATGAAGAAGGATGCTAGTATTGATCATGCTCTGACATGAGAAATTAAAAGCAACTCAAACCACACTTTACCGCTCAAAGCAGCTTCGCCCTGACCACATTTTAGTATATATCTGTGCACATTATTGTTCATAACAGGAAATTACAATTATGCTTGTTCCATTAACTGCTCACCATCTTCCCTTAACATCTGACTGCTTCAATCCAATTTTATAACTGCTCACTTCAGTGAACACCTAATTCCTCCACAAATCATTTTGCCTTATTGCTAATTGCTCAATTTATGACTGGTGTTGCCCACTTGACTCTTTCTCTGCAGTCCACTGCTTCAGAATTTTGAAAATGTAAATTAGGTTCTCTCAAATACTTCATTTAAAAAAAACTGCTTCCACCTTTTCTAATTGCGAGAATTATCTATTTTGCTTGAATCTGAACCAACTGTCGTGCCACAAATGTATATTAAGCCACATCTGTGTTCATGAACATCATATTGTTAGATCCAATCCTACCAAAAGATCTCCAGTCAGTTCCTGGCTATAACAAACCCAAGTAAAAAAAAACTGAGTGCAATATAAGAGAACTCAAGCATTTGAAACGTTTAATGAAAATGCGTGTGTAAAAACGTTGAAGGTGACATTTTCCTTGATGCAGGAGCAAGTGGAATTTCCCGAAGTGTAAATTAGCCCTACCTTTTCCAGAAACACTGGAATGGCATCAACAACCACAGCTGATGACCTAGGAAGAGCTTCCATCATGTAAGTCAGAGCTCTGCAAGCATGGTTCATCTGTCAGATGAGGAGGGAACAGCACATCAGTGAATGAATGACAAGCTCAGGTAACTTCAGCAATCTTCTCAGTGAGCAAATACTTACAATATCAAAGTTGTGTTCCATCTGCAACAAGGTTATCTAGAAGGAAATGAAGAAAGTTATTATACATGTTTGGGATCTTACAATAGGTTGACAAAAAGGGCACACAAAAAATGAATAAATCGTACAACATTTTCACAGTTAAAAGCGACAATGCAGCCAATTGATCTTTAATATTAAAGCAAAAAGAAAATGTGAAGACTAGGGACAATCAGATTTAATATGTTTGCACTGTTATGTCACAGAGAGCACCAACCCATCCCTGAACAATTATCATATATATTGCAAGTATGGGTAGCATTTTAGGACCTTTAGCTTAACCCGCTTTCTCTCCCTCCTTCCTCAATTCCACCCATCGCCAGGAGGAAATAGAAGATTCTTTGAAATCTGTCCATGCAAAGCAATTGCAGGAAGCTCTTTTGAGACCTGCTCCTGACGTGATATGCGCTGTGTAAATGTAAAATTGTAGTAGCATGCTAGCGGTACTGTCAGGGTTTCAGTGCTTGCTGTAGGTCGTACCAAAGCTGGAACAACACTCTTGACTGGAAATCCTCCCAAGGTTTCTTCATTTCCCATGACCAAAAGCTGGCACATTTCAATGACTGCCTGAAGTTGCTGACTCTCATCTCCAGTGGCCTGCAAGCCCTGCAGGAGCTGCTGGGCCTTGGAACCTAAGAGAACAAATGCAACACTTGTTAACGTGTAGCCCATAACGTTTGTAGAGTTGTATCTACTGTTGCTACGCGACCCTGCTCCGTATAAAGAGCGCTATATAAATGCAAGTTGTTGTTGTTGGGACGTCTTGTGAGGTCAAAGGCACTATACAAATGTAATTTGTTGTTCATTAACCCAAGGGCCTGTACATCAGCAATCCTGATAGGATATCAGATAAGCCATACTCGGTTTCTCTCTGAACTTGTCAGTAAAGCAAGAGAATAGCAGTTGACCACTCCAAAGGGAATGCATCTAGACTGCTCACTAGACACTAGAAGTTTAAGAGTGGGGAAACAAACCCACATCTTAGTGTTTATCTAACATTTTATTTTGGGATGGGGAAGGGGAGGAGAAATTAAAGATTCTTTGGAATCTGTCCATGCAAAATCTGAGCAGAGCAGACTTGATGCAGATTCCAAATACTCAAAGAAAAAAAAAAATTTACCCAGATTTTACATTGCTCATCATGATAAATTCCACAATACTTCACCAGAACAAGAGCCCTTAAATGTCAAATCTTCTCCAAGTAACAAACCCAAGGTTTGAAAAGCAATTTCAGCTTTCTGAATCAGTACAATCTCGTGGTAATGTTTCTGTGGCAAGTCTTCACTTCTGAAACAACAGCGCCAGGCAATTACTCACTTGCTCCACTTCCAATTGTCCTATGAAAGAGCTGGGACATTCGCGGACCAAGAGGGCCAAACAAATGGGGTGGAAGGCCACGAGCCTCCAACAAGGCTGGAACAAAATACACAAGGTTACTGCACAAATGCAAAGCACAAATGACTCCTACAGGCACAGGAGTAATACCATTCAAATAGTTTGTGCCTAGCTGCAAACTTATCCAGCAATTACAGATACTGGGAATGCTTGTTATAAAAATTTATTGTAACATACATTAAACCATGAAAGAAAATTCTTGATTTCTGCATCAACCATGTAATGTTTGCTTCTATTCATTTTATACTGGTGAACTTTAGCCAAATTCCAAAGGTTTCATCATTAATCTGGGAATTGTGTGACAAACCACAACCTTTCTGGCTTTAAGGTACCGCATGCCCAATTCCTTGCTTTAGCCGCATTAAAAGTAGGTTCATATAATAAGGATGTCTCCAAGGGAAACGTGAAAGAGGATCAGAATTGTAAGAGGGGTTTAGCAGTCTTTCAGCAATGAGAATCATTCATGTTCTACAGAGCTGGGAAATTTAAAAACTTGAAGGATTAAGTTATTCAGAACTGCAGAAGTATAAAATCCATAAACCTTAAGCAAGACTAGACATTAGAAGGTTAGATTACCTACTGTAGGGTATGGTCTCTCATTCTTCAAAAAGTTCAACCTCCACATACAAGTAGGAATTGCCATCATCCCACAGGGGCAAAAATAAAGGGCAGCTGCTGTAAAAACCATTTAGTTGTGATCTTTCTCCACTCTACACAAGGCCTCCTCACACCCTTTGTTCTCTGGCTGGAGGCACCAATGACACCCCTCAAACAATGAGCACACACTGAAGTAGCACACCAGAAACCAAATGAAGGGTTAGGCTGAGCGAGACCTTTATGTGAAGATTAAAGTTCTTTCAGTGAATGAGAACTCATACCTGGCATAGGCAATCCAACACTTGCTCAGTTAAATCCCTCAAATGGGAACATGTCAAAGCATGCACTGGAGTGGAACTCACTGAACACTGCCATGCTGAGATTATGCTTGGTGAAAGCATTTAAACCTCTCCATGTATATATTTTTAAAAGGGAAACTCCGTTAAGTTTGGCCAACTGATAGAAATAAATAAGCTCTCACTTTTACTGGGAAGTTCTGACCCGTGATGGAGCAACACAAGGGTTCATTCTACTACCCAGTTCACTAACCTTTGTTTAATGATGGGTTTACCCAGGTTTTTCTTCCTATAGGGAAAGCAAACAATTGCCTATATTAGCATACACCTTCTCACTTTAAAGACTTGTTCCAAGAAGGTCACCATGAGGTCCACCTCTGGGCATCCCCATTTCTCAATTTTGAAATGAGCTGATACAGTACTAAGTCTACTTGTTAGGCTTGACCTTCATTCGTCCAGAGGATGGTCACTGCAATGGACAAGTAGCCAGGTATTGTGATCAGAGAAGTTGGAAGATGTTTTAATGCAGCAGTGCCAATTTTGCAGAATTGGACAGAATAGTCAGGGCTCCTGACTCCCTCCCTCCCTCTCCTGGATATGCAACACGCTAACATTCCATTGTCTGCTCACAGCTGAGAACAGTTGCAGATGGCCTTTTACAAGAGCAGCAGTGAACCAGATTCTTTCCAGTTCACCAATAGTAGCCCCGTAAATCCTATCTGGAAGAATCTAAGAAATTCAAGACTAAAAGGGGGCAAGTTACACACATGGCACAATGCTGATGTGGATGACCTCTTTCTCGGCACACTGGATTAAGTCCATAAGCAAATTCCACATAATCTAAATCAGCTCTCATGTGCGGGGACAATTCAGCAAATACTCTGCCTGCTTGGATAATTTATACCCTGGAATGAAACCTCCTCCCATGGCCCAAAAATGTCTCTTTTTCTGAGATGTTCTGAAAAAAGCTCAGAGGATCCTAAGTTCTTCCGCAGGAATGATTGGATGGGGCTGCCCATTGTTGATGATGCTGGTTGAAAGTGAATACGAAATTGAATAATGACAAAAGAAAAAAATGTGCTGGGGTCAGGCAAAAAGGGAACAGCGGGTGCAGCTCACAAGCCAGAGTGGGGAAAGATCACATGAACAAAACAGCAGTACAATGGAATGATTTGTTAAAGGGACCGACGCCCTTGATTTTCTCATCTTTGTGGAATGACAGCAATTCATATTTGTATATGGTGTTCGAACAAATCACACATTTTTTCGTTCCTCAAAAGCAGTGGATATTTGGAACAAACTCCCAGCAAAGGCAAACTAAATGCTATACTGCTGAATTCCTTTAAGATTGTTGGATATATTTTAAATACTCCATTACTTGAGAGGAAGGAAATTAGAGTGAATTTTCAGTCTTTTCTTTGAAGCTTTACCTGTATTTGGTCATCTGTCAATTTGAACAGGCTAATGTCCACAACAAGGCACATTTAACATGGTCAACGGAGAGAATGACCTTACACCAAATGGCCTTATTTTATCTTAATGCTCAGTGTTTACGTCCTGCTCTGAAACACAAATTGCAAACTGCCACCGCAGTCCTTTGCATATATAATTACACTGGTCAAAGTCATGCATTTTTTTCTGAATTGCACAGCTGCACATTTTTCCAATTGGTACAATGTATCCAAAGTTGCGCCATTGTTTTATGAAAATTACTGCCTGAAAGATCAAACAGCCCAGAGCAGTCCATGACACTTACAATTGCTAAGTCCTGAAACGCATTTACATGACATGAACTTCCCGCCAGAGATGGGGTGAGGTAATGCCTACATCTCTACTTTTCAAAATTTCAGCACACCCAGCATTGCTTGGTGGGTCACAAAAAGCACATCAACAACACATTTTTCCCCAACTAGAAATTAGCTTCAGTGGTTCTTCGGCTCTACGTCTTTTGTCATTATTTGGGTGAAATTCCATCAAACAGAAGACAGCTTAATCTTCTATTATTAACCCAAATATTTTGTTTTCCAAATTCTACAGTGGATTTAGAGATCTTGCATCACAGATGGCTTATACTCCTCACTGCCACATCACAGCTGGTGCTTGAGATTCCTTACCTTGTAGTCTGCCCATTTCAGAGTCATCCGATTCACTCTCTCCAGAGTTTGACATCCCCACAGCCCCAGCAACAGAACTAGAAGCTATAAATAAAAACCAAAGAATTCAGCTCATTCTATTAAAGCTCAAGTATTTTGTGTGATAAAAAAATCTTAACACAAGTATCACTTGGAGTGCTTTACAATCTCTGCGAGGATTAAAAAAAAAATTCTGCCAATTTCGAATAGAGCAAATCGTATCTTTCAATTCTTCAAAAATCCAAGCATGCCATTTTTAATTTAAGTGAATAGTGATTTACAATATACACTTAACAGTATTACACTATCCATTTAGGTTGGTTACTTATGGCTATATCTTTCTTAGCTCATACAATTCTTTTGTGTTGAATTTTAGAATTGTACTTCTGTTTGTTGATGAAATACCCCAATCCCATAACAGTTCTCTAGGATAGCATTGAATCAACACTCAATCCTACAATACTGCCAGCGGTACGGCAGGATGGGGCTCACATAGCTATAATGCTTCCATTGGCAGTAAAACAATCAAGGCTTTTGCAACATGAACATTTTAACACTTATACCATCTGAAGTGAAGAGCTGACAGAACAGGACCAGAGATTAATATTTTGTACCTGATGCTCCTTGAGGTGCATCTTCTGTGCGTGCAGAAGAATTTGCTCCGTCCTGGTTGTTATCAGGATCTGCCATCTTCTCCTGTCGGCGAGCCTCGGATGCTCCTCTTTTGCCCAGGCCAGAGCCTCGCCGACTGTTCGGGGTTGGAGCGAAGAGGAAAAGGGGTGTGAGGGATAAGGCTACAATATTCTCTGAAGCAATGCAGAGCGTATCCCACATCTGTATAAAACCTCACGTGCTGGCATGCAAATGCCGATTTTAAAATAAGTGCATGAGAACAAACACATATTCCGTCTACACCATTATTTATCTATACAAGGCATTTGAGGGGATATTCTTGTAAACTGTGCAAGATCTTCATAACTTGCATTTATAGAGCGCCCATCATGAGGGGTAGTATCAGGTCATCAGCTGCTTTGCTCACTCATGGCAAGACGATCTTTGGACTAGATGCACCTTTCCTCAAGGACAATTTCTTCCCAACACTACACTTGGGTCAGACCCATCAGGCTCCATGTGGAAATGTGATAAAATTGAGGATTTGCGATTGAACTATTTATTCCAATATTGCAGATGATTTGGACATTTTAAGCCCAAAGATTGCCAAAGACAGCTGTTTTCAGAACAGACTAGTTTTATTCTCACTTCAGCTTTGTTCAGTAAGCAGTGAAGCAAATGCAAAACTAACTCCACATATACAATGTAATGCGTAGCATTCCTCTCCCCACCTCCGTTATCCATGCTTCACTTTCAAGGGCATTATCCAGCCACTGATGCCTCAATCTCTGTTCTTTAGGTGAGTTGACAAGCATGCTTGTATGATGTACAAATGGATTGGGGGGAGGGGGAGAAAGAAGAGAAACAGGGAGGGTAAAAACAATAAAGAGGGCTTCTTTCCTTTTTAGTTAAGGACCTTGTGCAATTGCCCAGAATTAGAACATTGATCTGTAAGGCAGCCCAATCCTCTACCACTGAATTTGCCAGGCAACACGCTGTTCAGCAATATCAAACCATGTTAGTTGATTTAATTGAAAAAGTCTAAAATGCATGTTTCTATAAACCCATCTCAATAGTAAACTTGATTTGGCAAGAGATCTATATACTCAAAAATAATCATCTTACATTACTCATTTGCACAGCAGAAGCCACATGAACCTAGGATTATTAGTTAAACTGCAATTTCACATTCCACTGCTGCTTCTAGTCCTATTAAAACCAAGATTCAAAATATTTGATAAACATATCCTCTCTACCAGTACCAATGCACAAAACAGTCTCCACTTGCTCAGTGAAATTGTCCCGAGGTGGCAAGGGAGCACCATTTGAGAAACATACATGAGCAGGTTTTTGAAAAGTACTGGAGCAACATTCAGTGCAAACTGATCTTTACCTGGTACTAGCACAGGAGCCCGTGGTCTTTTGGCGTGTGCTCCGCCTCAAGCTGGGGAGCTCTGCTGGTGGTGATTCACTGCGTTTCTTGGTAGATCTTCTTAAGCCTTTAAAATATTATAACAGTGCTGACATGAACCAAGATTCAAATCACATCAGGATAAAGGTACCACAAAGGATAAAGCAATCCCAATAAACCAACCCAAAAATCTTTCCTGCTGCCCCTCCAAATAGACAACCACACATCCCAGTGCTGACCATCTACGTAAGTGGTGGACACCCTGTGGCTATCAGAAGCAGTGTCATGATTGACCATTTTAGGGATGTGCAGTGTGTACTCCAATTGCTTTCATCTCCAACCCTGGGATTTTGTTCTAGTATCAGCCCAAGAACAGAGAGTGGAGAGAGGGTTGTGGCACAAGTATATAACGCACCTGTTCCTGAGCTGACCTTCAGTATATTTTCATAACTGAAGGCATTAGGATACACCATAGGAAGTTTTTCTCAGCCTCAGAAAATAGTTAAGACTTCTCACAGTACTTCCCACACATGGCAAAATTGACCCACGGTGGGGGGGGGGGGGGGGGTAGTTCATCTTAAGCTATATCTGAATTTCTATTGTACCAGAAACACTAAAGAGAAGGAAAGAGCACCTGACAGCACTTTGGGTATCCAGGTGCAACCTGCTAATTAAAGCCTTAATGGAGAGGAACATATACCCACACTGAACATTAACTGAAATAACAGGCTTCACTAACTGGAACTACTTAATTTGGTCTGCAATGGAAGTCATTTGACATCAAAGCCTTTAGTGGTGAAACCAAGATTCAAATCACTTCTGGATAAAGGTACCAACGCAATCCCAGTAACCTAACCCGAAAATCTTTCCTGCTGCCCCGTGGTCTTTTGGCGGGTGCTCCGCCTCATGCTGGGGAGCTTTGCTGCTGGTGATTCACTGCGTTTCTTGGTAGATCTTAATGCAATATTGACAGTTTCAAATAATGTTTAGAGCAATCCATAAATACAAGTTTCATAATTTCTTTACACTGTTCTTTAAAAAAATAATTTGGAGTTGCTCTGATTGCTTGGGAAAGTGCCATGCTGTGAGAGAACTCACTTTTTCCAATTAATTCTATTGCTGTTCCACACAGAAGCTAATCTGGTTTTAAATTGTACCACTAGAACCTGGGTTCAAGTCCCAGGCAGGGCGAAACGTTGGGCAAGTTTCCTTACTCCACACGCCTCTGTTTACCTAGTAGTAAGTAGGAACCTGGGTGTTGGTTGATTGGTGGATCACTTTTCCGGGATAATAATCCCTTCAAAAAATATTTAGTCACTCAATCCACAACGGTTTGTGAGACGCTGCTGTAAGCAATTTGTTGCCGGGGTTCGCCCACAAAATATACAGTCATTCACTTCACAGTATATTCTGTGAAGAGCTTTGAGACATCTAGAAGATGTGATAAGTCTCTATATCAAATGAAAGGTTTATTATTATAATAATATAACTGCCACTTTCATTTCTCGAGACCACAATCAGGTCTACCACTGCAGCTTCAATTAGATCCAAGTAATACGTGGTAGCGGGGAATTATTTGGCACAAATAATAAAACCATCAAACCACAGGGCTCATGTGGGATTTTTCAATGTACTTTTTTCAGACTTTCATTCTTAACTGAGGGATACTTTCAAGATTTTCTGGCTTCTAAGTGAACAGATGGCAACAACAACTTGCACTTATATAGCACCCTCCAAGCAGGGTAGCATCTCAGAGCACTTAACAGTGGCAGAGCCTGACTCTGAGCCGGGGGAGAGGGGGGTGGTGGCCGTACGCACAGTAGAACAGGAAAGTCTTCAGGTGGGACTTGAAACAGGGGAGAGAAGGGGCAAAGCAGAGGGATTCAGGGATAGTGTTCCAGAGTTTTGGGGCATAGTGGCTGAAAGCACGACCTCCTATGGTGGAGCGGAGGGTGCGAGGGACAAGCAGGAGGCCGGTGTCAGTCAAGCGGAGGCCCCTGGTGGTGGATTGGGGAGTGAGGAGGTTGGAGAGGTAGAGAGGTGCCAGGAGTGAATGGATTTGAACACGAGTGTGAGGATCTTGAAGTTGATCTTGAAAACATTTTCAAAAACGTGGCACATCTATAAGGGAAACTTGTGCAGATTTTCCTCTTCCAATTCCACCCCCTTCTATATTGTCCAGTGCAGTCTATTTGACCACTCCAGACATCAAATTCTGTTTCTTGGCAAAATATCCACTGAAAGAATATTTCCCTTTTCCAACAATCTAGCAGCAAGTCTGTACTATAATTCGACCTAGTACAAGTTATTGATTCATAAGGTTTACACATACTAAAATCACAGATTGCAGGCTACCTTCGGAATTAACTAGCAAACAAGTGCTCGGCAAGACTCAAATTACTATTGAATTATGTTTGTTAAATACAATGAGTCTTCATTCTAAAGCTGTTTCAACAGAACATAAGCTTCCCCACCAAATTTATGGCTCAATATCCAGGCCATAACTACATGAAAAACATTTTCATACACGTTTAATCATGGGGAAGTGTACAGAATCTACAGATGATTAGAGTGCGAATGTAGCTATTCCTAATATTAAAAGATCAGTATTCAAAACCATGGGAAGTAGAATAGGTAAAGGAGTGAAATATGAAAGAGTGAAAACACTTTTTTAAAAATAAACAGAGCATGCTTTGGAAGGAAATCAACTTAAATACAGGGTGACCAAAATGTCATGATATCTATCCTATTATTTAAAAACAAACAAAAATATCATAATTTATTTGACTTACTAGACATTGTAATGGTATCACCAGTTTTTGGTCACCCTGCATTAACAATTACAGATTTATACGAATTTGGTGGCTGGTCCAGATTAGACCTTTGACAAAGCGGTCACACAAGTGGGTTTAATAGTCAACAGGCCACATCCCAAAATAAATATTTGCATTATTATCAAACGAAGATGGTTTGCATTTCTTATTGGTAACAAAGTATAATTCTGAATCAATTTTATACACTTACTGGCTAACTTAGCTTGCAGGCCTGATGGCCCTGGCTTTGATGTCTCCGATTTAGAAGAGCCCGGAAGTGACAGTTTTGCTTTTGGCAGGTTGACTTTTGGGCTGAAACGAGTAGCCCAATCAAACTTGGAGGAGCCACCAGTTTTATTCTGTTCCTTTTCCCGACTGCTCCTGCGAGGGCTTGGGCTTGAGGCCGAGCGGGAGCGGCGAGCCTTATTCTGGTCTTTACCTTGTTTTAACCTGGCTCCCTGAGGTACGGCAGCGGAAACAGCAGCAGATGATGAAGAGGACGTAGAGGCAGAGGAGGAAGAATCAGTAACTGTGCTACACCCAGCTTTGGCTGAGGTCGCTGATTTTGAAGCCAGCTTGGTTGGTTTAGCAGATCTCTCTTCAGCACTGATCAAGTCAGCTGCAGGACCACTGTTTACAGCAGAGGTGGTTGTCTCAATCTTTTTCCTTTTCTGTAAAGGAGAGGCAGCACTGGATCCGCTTTGTTTCCTGCCCTGGGGCTTGCTCGTCGATGCAGTCGGTGCACTTTTTGCTGGCTTATCCTGTACAGACTTTCTTTTCTTTGGGGTCTTTGCTTGCACCTTATTCTTTTGTGTTTCAGTGGGACTTTCCGAGGACGGAACTGCTTTGGGCCGTTTTGTAGAACAGGTGGAGTTGGAGCTGCTACAGTCGGGACTCGGACCACGTTTCAAGCCTCTCAAACTGCTCTTGGAACTGTCTCTTTTAACAGGTTGTCCAGTTTTTAGTCTTTCTGACCTACTAATCCTCTCTTCTTGCTGCGGCACAGAAGCAACAGATGAAGAGCTGCAACTCCTGGAGTTCCTGTTAAGGAAACACATGAGTCTTATTAACAACGGTCAAACACATACAGGACAACCCAGTTATAACCTACTTTGGGTATAGTGTGGGCACATGGGGTTTTGCATGAAGGGTACATTTGAGGCACATGGGGTTTAAATTAAGATTATGAGAAATTATCTATTATGGAAGGTGGGTGCAACTACACAATAATTACTGACGATTAGAAAATAGGAATCTTAAACTGTGGGAGAATTTCTTCGTAATAGATCATTTCTCATTATCTTCATGCAAAATGTGCCTCATTTGCCTCAAATGTACCCTGCTATCCTCTGGACTGATGTCGTCTGCCATCCAGACATTTCCTTTCAAACTGGACTCAGTCGATTAGAATATCATGAGCAAGAACACAACCTAAAACCCTCTGAGAGGTTGCGGAGGTATTACAATTCTGTGTTCTCTGAAGAAGTATATTAATCCTACAGTTCTTATTTTTGGCCATGAGAGACTGAGAAATGGTCGATGGGCAGAAGAGTTAATGCTGCAGGATTCAGGAAGATCAGAATTCTCACACAAATAAAAGGATAAAAGCCTTGTGGAAGTAATTTGCTCTGATTTGCTCCTGGGACTTGAAAATATAAGGTTGACTAAGTGCATATCAAAGGGCTAAATGTTCCTATATTGCTAATGTGTAAAATGAATATTATAATTAAGAATTTTTGAGTGTTTTAGATACCTCCTTGATACACGTCCCCTGGACTGTCCAGTGGCAGCTTCGGCCTGCAATTTTGTAGCTTTGGAAGCTGGCCTACTTGCAGGTGTTTTTGCCTCCTTCCTCTCTTCTGACTGTGACCTATTATAAAAAGGAAAACAAAACTGAAATCAAACTCAATCCAAAGTGTAACCCAGTTTTCTTACAGAAATATGTTCCAATTAGGACAAAGTTAATTAGTCTTTTAAAGAATATTCAGAATGTGAACTTTTGCTGTTTGCTAAAAGCTATAGACTGTAAATTTCTCATAAATTATCAAATTGGCATTCTTAGTTGGTGCATAACATGCTACATTATGCACATAAAACAACTCAATCACATCAAATGTGGCCATATATCTCAAATATTTGTAACAATCCAATAGAAATAATATACAATAGCCTATGAAACAGCATTTTCAAACTACACTTTTGTTAAACCCGAAAACAAGTATTCCTCATTATTCCTACAGAAAGAACTGTCCGTTAACAAGTGCCACATCCTCTCTATACTTCAAAAGCTGTTTATTGCTCATTTTAAAAGAAAAATCCTGGAAATCCAGATACAATGCTTTGCTTGCAAAGATTACACTCCATCATGTTATTGAGCAATTTACTGTTTCGAAAAAGTGTGATCATATTGTTAAAACTGCAAGTTTGTTTTTGTAAAACAAGTTTCTAAATGAGTGTTATTCAGGACTGCCCTTTCTCTCCGGGAATTATAAAGAACGTTTCTTCTGATAATGCCGTTGGATGTTACTTAACTTTACTTACCCAATATAGATCATTAAACCTAACTGCACATTCAATTCCACTGGGATCAAGCTCCCTAATGTATGACGCAAAGTTGGACACAGCAGCTAACATTTAACAGAAGCCAGTCACAATGTAATGCAGTGTAGAAAAGATAAATGCAATTTATGCTATTAGTAGCTTCACCATGCTAAGTTTCAAAACTGATACGGGGAAAGCTTTGGAACTTATTAAAGCCACACGTACACAGACATGTATGCGGTTATGTAGCTACCAGCTTGTCCAACATAAAGAGAACTTAAGGAAAGCTCATCAAGTCTTGAGTTACTTAGCAGCATCTTTAGTGGAATCCAAATCATCTCATACAGTGGTCTCACACACCAAGGAAATACAAGAGCCACACACGTGCGGTTGTGAACTAAAGATTGTTGAATGGTTTATGAAAACTGGAAATGTTAAAAAACACTATTTAGTGGTAGCAATTAAGGCTGCAAAAATCTTTAAAATATCAAGATTTGAAGAGCCGTTCCAAACCACTTCTACTTCCAGCAGTTTTGATCCAAAATGGTAGCCAAAGACTCAGTCACAGAGGGCTGTCAACTTGAAATCAAAATCCCGTTTCCTTAACAGACCTGGTAGAAAAAGTTTAAAACTTTGTACGTGACATTGCAGTGTAAAAGTCTTCATTCTACACAGAAAATGGTAAAGTGACCTCATTTAAAATAAGGACATGGCAAAATATCCACTGCATTGATACGATTTTCGTAAGCTCATTTTCAGTGGTCTCAACATACCAATAATCATTTCAAACCATCCAAACAATACTTGCCTTCCTCCTTCTGCTTCTTCTTGTGGTTGGGCCCCGGCAGTGTTCCTCTGTGAACGTCGCAGTGACCCCCCTGTATTGTAATTAGGCCGGTTGGACATTGGCACCTCTCTCCTGAAGGGACATACCCTTTCTAGACACTACCATTCACTGAAAGACAAAAAGAATTTTAAAAGAAAAAATTAACCATGGCTTCAAGTATTTAAATTCTTAGTAGGTGCAATGCTCATTCAATCCATTGTACCTGCTCATTTGGAACAAAAAGCTGGTATTAGGTACAAGTTTATGACCAATATCCGAGAGAAACAACACCTACTCAAATCTTCCCAGTCCAAGAGATCTTCCCCAGTCCATGGTTCTACATGGTCTCATTCTGGATTCACAAATAGGCTTTGATCAAAAGTAACAGAGTAGGTATGAAGCAAATTCATAAACATTGTAGGACGGGAAAATTATGCACATCGAATCCATTCACATGAGTGAAACTATGTCAGAGCTGTACATGTGCTAAGTATTATTGACACACTGTACACGTGGTTAAGCATTATTGATGCAACACATTCGTATTGAAACGTTTCAAAGCGCTTCAGCAGTTTATAAAATCCATCTGTTTTCTCACACTTCCCCCAATAAATTAAAAGGGACCATCCTCACCAGTCACTTGTAGCGCACAGTACAATGTCCCTTTGCTGGGACTTTAAGAGGATTATACTAAATGAGTAGTTTTAATGCTTTAAAAGCTAGGCCTCCTCAATTGATAATGGTACAGAGTTTGTCTCAATGGTTGGTAATATTTTCCCAAAGGTTTTAATGCCAATCCACTTTGGTGGATGCAACTGGAAGCCTGAATATTTGACCCAGAGCTATTACACATACCAGCATGCTAAGGTAATTGGACTCCTAGCTGGAGGCAATTCAAGAACTGCACTGAAAGTACAGCTCGGGATCAACTTTCCCTTCCATGGTGACTACTGACAAGCAGGGAATAGAATCTACTTGTTATTATGTGATGCTTTAATGTACTGCACCATCATTCTTGCCATTTCAGCAGGAAATGTAACTAACATTGACACTCACCAAATATTGGATTTATCTGGTTTTCTAACCATTGCTCTGCCCACAAGGAATTCAGGACTTTAGAAGCCGGACAATTCTTTTTGAAAGTTATACACTTAAACTGCGTTATATAATACATGAGGGAATAGATATGCCACACAGAGAGGAACAATTTCCAGACAATGTACTTTAAATGTGAAGATCCAATTCTTAAAACTATGACGAATGCCAATTCAGTTAGTCCATAATTTTAGTCGTATTGGTAGTAATCAGAACAATGTTCTGTACAGAAATGCAATACAGTCTCTTGACAATGCTGCCCAATATAATTGCACTTCTTACATGTACTGTGTGCCAAAATTCAGTTAGTGCACAGGGTTTTTACTGACACTGAATGTTTTGAATACTTAAAACTGCCCATTGCACATTATTCTGGACTGAAACAAAATTGTTGCTCTCAAGCATGCTCCATTGTTTTCATCCAAAAATGCAGTCAATCCACTTTACAATATTCTGTGAAGCTCTTTCAGACATCTCAACAACCTGATAAGGCACTATGTCAAATGCAAGGATTATTATTATTATTATTAAAAGGGAATACCCATTGGTCACAAGGAAAGTCTAAACTGCAGTTGATTTCATTTTGCTGCTACCACAAACTCTGGAGTTTATCTGGAAACATTTTTTCCTGTTGTTTTGATTCCTGCCCAAAATAACGTTGTGCAGTAGATTGCCAGTTGACAAAACATATCAAGGAATTATGATCTTTTGACATGTCCTATAATCTTAAAAGGTTCAGAAATAAATTAAGACAGAAAGGCACACACATTTTACTCCTAGAATTTTTGCATTGCACATGGAGTAAAAATGCAGAAAACAATTAAAGCACAACTTGTAACTACTGTATATGTTAAACATGTAATTAGCAGAATTACTATGTAAATTACACGAAGATGACAAGAAGAATCTAAGAAATATTGTCTCAAAGCCAAGATAATCCTGCAGTAATTCAAGGAATCTTTGATGGTTGATCAGACTGTCTGGATTACTAATAAGACTTGGAGTTGGACAATCAACTTACAACCAGGTACCTACTTACTACTTTGTGAACAGAGGCGTGTGGAGTACAGAAACTTGCCAAACATTTCGCCCTCCGTGAGTTGAGCCCAGTTCCTCTAACTTGTGAGGCCAATCACTAAGCTACAGGACTCCACATGTACTGCTTTAGGTACAAACAGAATGTTGTCATTGGAGTCTGTCTGAATAATATGGTCAATGTATCCCAAGTACTACTCTTGAAGCACATGATGTTTGAAGATTCATCATTGGCAATTGTTTTATTCTAACATTAAAGCATTTTAAATTACCTAAATTAAACTTGATCAAAGCTTCATCATTACATTCCGTGAAGTTTCAAAATAAGTCAGAAACAAAGACAGAATGAGCTTCAATAACTGGAGGTTAGTTTGTAATTGTTATCTTGAAGAAGATTGGATTATCAAAGCAGTTATCAGACCAAATGGAAGCTCAAATACAGATGAGATCGAAATTAGTATATGGACCACTGACTTAGTCATGTTTTAACCACTTGTAGCATAGTGCCAAAACAATATAAATCAACACCTTTGTTTAGTGGGAATATGCCAAGAATTAATCAGTTAAAACCAGTGTTCAATGGGCCTCTTAAAACATTTCAAAGGTCAAGTCATTTTCCTACATCTTGTACGTTTTTTGTAATCCATTGCTACCTGGATGTGCTGGTTGTTTATGCAGTATAAGCTGAGCATATGAAGGAAAAACCACTGTTGTAACGTTCACACTTGGCAAAACCCAGACAGATGGCTGCCAGTGATAAGGTTGCAATATGAGAAAACTTGATTGGCTTCAGCTGTGAGAGAAACTCTGCTGGTTTATGAATGTCATCTGAACTTGAAAGCAAAACACCCAGGCAAACATTCAGAGCCATCTATGTATTTTATTTTTAAAATAAAAGTAGAATTGGAGGTGATTAAAAAATTGTTTTAAATAGAAATATTCAAGTGCAAAGATCACAGTGAATCCATCCAAATGTATTAAGTACCATTTTTCATGCCCCATTATAGAAAGGATATCACAGCCATGGAGAGGGTGGAGTGCGGATTCACTGGGATGATTGGATTAAGATATGAAGAAAGGGTTAAACTGGCCTGTTTTCACTGGAGTGAATAAGGTAATGAGGTACCAAATGAGTATGGAAGGTAGATTCAATGAAATCATTTAAATGGGAGTTATGGCCCTCGGATAAAAATCTAAGTGTATGGGGCAAGAACAAATAGCTCCAGTTGATAGCTGGAAGAGCTCCTGTAGATAGCGAGGAAGAACAATACAGACATGATGATTCTTTCTTTGCTAAAATACGATTCTATTCATTCTTGAACCAATACTGGAGTACTATAGCGTTAATCTACTCCAAAAGAGAATAAATATTCAATTTAAACTTCAGATTCAATGTACTGAAACTAAACTTTCTACGCCTCTGACTAGAAACCACCAAATAGAAATGTGATGATGTGATGTTCTCGATCTAGAAAGCAATTTTTAATTCCAAAATGACAGACCACAAAAGTCATGAGCAGTGAATTAAAACCAAAGTCTACAAGTCGTTCTGACGAAGGGTCGTGGACCTGAAATGTTGACTCACTTTCCTTTCTCCATAGATGCTGCCTGACCTGCTAAGTGTTCCCAGCGACTTCTGTTTTTGTCTGCAAGTTGTATTCTGGACAAGTCTAGTAAATTGGAATTTTCAAAGTAAATTCAGAAATAGAATTCACCAATGTTACAGATGTGTATCTTTACATTAACATGCCCCTTGTAAATCAAACCTTAAAAAGTTTGAGTGAAATACAAATATGAATCACTGGAAAATCTAACACAGTTTGCTGCATTACAAGAAACATTTGCTATTGAAAATAGAAATTGTGATTAATCACTAAGAAAAATCTACAGTACTTGACAGTACATATCTATAGTACACATCCAGGAACACACTCTGGCAGCAGCAGAACTGAAAGTTAACCTGGGTGACACATTTGAGGTAGGCCACTGCTACATACCAGTTTTGCACTACAACTATTAAAGATCCCTCCTAGCAGGTTAGCTTTCCTGATTTATTGTGAACAGTATTGTGCAAGACTTTCCCTCGAATGGGATGGTCTGCCAAGTCTGCTTAGAACCATTCATTGGTTAGAACCAAGCAATGGATTACCCAAACGCACTCCTCACCGGTCTCCCCAGCTCCACTATTCAAAAGATCCAGCTCATTCAGAACTCTGCCGCCTGCATACATCTCACCAGTTCTGGCCAGGTTCTACTGGCTCCCCATCACTGAACTGATCGCCCTCAAGATCCTCAACTAATATTAATCCTTGCATTTGATATAGCGCTTTTCACATCTTCTCGATGTCTCAAAGCACTTCACAGAATAGATTGTAAAGTGAATTCACCATATATTTATGGGCGAAACGCGGCAGCCAATTGCACACAGTAGTGTCCCACAAACAGTCATGGATTGAAAATGATCAATTTATTATTGTTTTTCGAGGGATTATTATTAGGCATGTGGAGTATCTCCGACTTCCTAACTCCCCAATCCACCTCCTCGCGCCTCCGCTCTACTGGCATCGGCCTTCTGCTCATCCCTCGCACCCTCCACCCCATCAGAGGTCACGCTTTCAGCCACTACTCTCCGAAACTCTGGAACACTCTCCCTCGATCCTTCCGCCTTGCTCCCTCTCGCCCCTTTTTTCAAGTCCCACCTGAAACCCTTCCTATTCAACCATGCTTACGGCCACCTCCCACCCAGTTCGGAGTCAGGCTCTGCTACTGTTAAGTGCAAGTTGGTGTTGTAGTTCGAAAGAAATCTTGTGCTGTAGCCGAGCCAAAATACAATTATTATAATTGCTGTTTGCACTCTGACTTGGGAGCAAAATACAACAAAGGGAGAAGCCTGAAAAATGGGGAGCCGTGAGTTATCTGTGCAACCTTTTTATAAAATAGTTTTTAGTATGCCTTTTATAGATTGGGACATATCTTAACAAGTCCATGGTTAAGAAGAA